CTGGACAGTTGCTTGCTAGTTGGAAGGTTGCTACCAAGAGTTTTAAAACTGGCTCTATGTATTTTATCTAAGCAAGTTCAATAATATTGGCAGTAAGTTGAATGCGAGAGTTCTACATACCCTTACTTCAGTGCTATGCAGGTGATCAGTGCCCATATTTTACTCCTCTAATTGTGTGTAAATTTGGGAAAGCTGCTTTCTGCCCAGTTTGACAAAGTTCAGCGAGCCAGGAGAAAGTGGGTTTTGCAAGGAACAGGAAGTGACTTTTGATCATATTTTATATAAAAATTGCTACACATAATAGGGATTCAGATGTGATAATGTATGTGCAAAATTTTGTATGTCCTTGAAGTTCAGCAGCTATTGCTGTGATTTTTTTTTATAATCTCCAGAACAGCTATTTTTTTAACCCTTTCTTTCCCTCACTGCTGGTCCTGTGTTACCCAGCTTGCTCATTGTCCTTCCTGCTCTGCTCCTGTTAAGTTGCTTTTGTAGTATTAATAAATGCATTGAGTTATTGCTTACAAGTGATGCAATGAACGAAATATGGCAGCTTTCCAAAGCAGAAATCTGTTTGCTTTGTTGTTTTCCTGCTAACTTATGTTTGCTCTGTAGCTTCTCAACAAAACTGTTTTAGTAAGTACTCAGTGGTACAACTTCTTGTAAGACACCCCCTCCCCGCCAGAAGGTACCCTTGAAGTTTTGCAGAAATGAGATTGAGATCAAATGGCACCATGCTACACATTTTCTGAAATCTTTAACTATAGTAGGTATATGCAGGAGAGCCACCAGTTAAAAAGTATGGGTGGTATCTGACTGAATCATACTCGAAACAGGCCCATCAAAATGAATGGGCAAGTTAACATTTGCCAGCTTAAGTCCATAGATTTCCATGAGTCTGCTCTGAAGAAGTCAGATACCATCCATTCATTGTTCATGTTTTTGACAATGCAAACATATTACTTGGACAGAGCAGAGTTAGCGGCCAAATCCTTAAAAAAAAACCCCCACACAATTTTCTAGATTTGTTTAGAAGTTTGCAACTATGAAGTCATTGTGACTTTATTTGGGGAGTGTTACAGAGCTGATGCAGGAATAGATGCCTGCCTATGAGAGGAGGCAAGAAACCAAGTAAACGGGATGCCTGTGCCAGAAGAACAGTATATCATCCTTCCTCCTGGCGTGGGCTTACAGTCAAATTGGTGCTTTGGGCTATCCTCTGTTAGACTCAGATGCAACTCCTTTTATTCAGAAATGTTGACCCACTCGAGGCGTGAACTGTAGAGCAGGAGCTCTGCTTTTCACAGTCAAGCTCTGGCCTGTTTTTGGTTGTTAATTAAAAATACTTAGGAAAATGCTTGTCTTGTCTTCAACAACTTTCTGGGGGGGAATAGGAAGCTACCTTACAGTGCATCAAATCCTTAGTCCTAGCTCAGCATTGTACTTGCTGGCTGGCAGTGGCTGTCCAGGATATTAAGCAGAAGTCCTTTGCTGCCCAACCATGGATTAAACCCGTGGCTTTTTGCAAGGAAAGCATGTGATCTACCACTGAGTGGTGGTTTTTCTCCTATGCAGCATGCTTTTCCTTAAGTGTAATATTCTGAAGCAGGGGTAACAAACTGGCAGCCCACAGGCCTCTGAAATATCTCTCTCTGACTTCTAAGCAGCTGTACCAGATTTGAAGGAAGGTATGTTTTTCTTTTAAAAAAAGGTTGAAGAAAATACTATTTTAAAAACTGTAAGGGAGAAAGAGATCCCTTATTTTAATACTACACGATCCAATCGTAGTCCTTACTGCTAGGTGGATGCCTTATTATAGAGTCGTGGCATCCCTACATGGGGTTGAGTTTTGTGGCAAAAATATGCTTCCTCCTTTGGAGCATTGCTGGGAGAGTGGCTGTCAAGAGGTCATTTGCTTCATTCGCTGGTCTTCAGTCAAGACAGTCAGACATAAAAATCTTGATACTGAATGCCTCATCCACTGACACCCACCTTATTATTAAGTAAAATGTGGCCAAAAAAGTTCCTTATGGAACTTTCCTGCTTTAGGATTTAAAAGGGTTTATTTAAGTTCAGTCTGTTGGTTTGTGTGGGAAGCCTTGCAGTCCAAGCCACTAGGGATATCAGGCATTAGTGTTTGAGGTTCCATTTTGAATTCCAGGCTCCATCTTGGAGGAGACACGAGCTGCCTCCTCATGGCTCATCCCAAACCTAATAATAATAATAATAATAATAAATTTTATTTATATCCCGCCCTCCCCAGCCGAAGCCGGCCTCAGGGTGGCTAACAACAATAAAACAGTACAAAAGTACAGCATAAACAGCATTCTAAAATCATTCATTATAAAATTAATTAATTCAAGCCACTGGCAACCATTGGGCCAGAGCTCCGCGAAGATTGCCGAGGGAGGGAGTCAGGCTGTCCCCTGGCCAAAGGCCTGGTGGAACAGCTCTGTCTTGCAGGCCCTGCGGAAAGATGTCAAGTCCCGCAGGGCCCTGGTCTCTTGTCACAGAGTGTTCCGCCAGATCGGAGCCACAGCTGAAAAAGCCCTGGCTCTAGTTGAGTGATTTTAATCACTCAGAAGTGCCATCTACTCCTAGGAGGGATTGAGCTGCTAGGCACCTCCCTGACTTACTGCTGTATTCCTATTGAGGTTCAAAGCCTTCTTAGGCTCAAGTGCCATGCAACATATCTATATACAACTATCTTGATTCAGGAAAAGATATAACTGTAAACATGGCTTTATTCTCGGTATGTACTTGTAAGTAGCTATATCAAGACTCCATTGTTCAAAAGCACATTTCAACTTGTGCTTTTTAGTCTCTGGAAAATTTCAGCTCAGGAAAGGACCAAACACTGTGCTGCTTCCTTGCCTTGCACAGAGCACGGATAATAAATTGATACCGAGCTGTAACCATCGCACAGCTCCTGCCTCAACTGCCTGCCTGCTGTCCACATCCTCAATAATCCCTTCCCTTTTCCCATGCAGAGTTCACAGACAGCAAGTGTGCTTACTAGCTACAACACAAGTCTGTACAACTTCCTTATTCCCTATACTTAAACCAGGTAAGCTTGCAGAAATCCCAGTGGCAGGGAATTACTGAGTTTCTCAAGGATCTTATCCAGTTCTGACATCCCTTTTTAAAAAACCTTTTTAAAGACTTCTAATCAAAAGCAGAGAAATGAAGCATCATAACATGTTGGACAAAAGCTTCCCCTTTAACCTCTCTGCGTCAGTTGGGAGTGGTCTTTACAATCCAGCTTCTGGTGTTGCAGGTATCTGTGAGAGTCCTTTTAAAAATGTTGATTTTTTTTTAATTTTCAAAAATATTTGATTTTTGGTTTGGTGTTTCTTTTAGCAGGTGGTGGTATTTCAGAGCTATTATGAAGACTTCCCAACCTTCCTCACCTTTCCTTATTCAGTCAGATAATGGACTGACTTTAAGCTACTATGGTCAGGACAAGTGACCTGGCTACCTATGGATACAGGGGACATTAAAAAAAGAAGAAAATGCAAATTATGGAAGAGGAAAATGCTTTCCCCCAATCCTGTCTTCCTGCTAACAGTGAACAAACTGTTGACTCTCAGGAAAGAAGATTTGTAGAGAACCTGATGGAAAGGAACTGCTTTTTGCTGGTTAGTCTGTATTTGCCCCCCAAAGTACAATGAAGTCTTTCACAGGACGAGAAGACCTGCTTGCCTCCAAGTTTAAGGTCTTTTAGTTTCTGTTGCATCATTCAATTCTCAAGAGGATGATTGTCCTGTCTCCATGAAGGCCCATCATGCTGCTGTGGATCCCAGCACATTCCTTTGGCAGTGTTGCTAGTTTAAGCAAACTACTCTTTGCACCATTATTTCCTCTGCATTATTCACACTGGTTTGCATTGACTTGGTAGACATGCTTTTTAGGTACCCTTTATACAGCAAGACAACTTAACTTACAAGTTGCCTGCTTTTGCAGGTTTGGAACAGACATTTGGAATCCAAATGACTCCAAAGAGGTTTATAACTGATTGGATACTGATTGCAAGAACCAGGGAGGGCAGAGGGGACATATATCTGGAGAGAAAGGAGAGGGTTGGGATGATGTTGGGCCAAAGCATGAGTGGGACACGTCTCAGCATGTTTCCATGCTGGACTTCTACAGCTCAAGAGACGCTCGTTTTCCCTCCACTCGAGGATGTGCCAGGCAAATGAGTATCTCCCTGGGAATGTTTAGATGAATCTGCACACAAGACATGGGAATATACTGCTTAAGTCATTTATGTTTCTGTTTTGTGTTCTATCCAAAGCCATCCAGAGATTTCCGTTTTTGGCTGGGCCTGTATTAGAAAAGGTTGCATCCTGCATTTTCATTTCTTGCCATTGCAGTTGTTTATCCAAAGTCTTATCAGTCTCGTAAATCAGGAGATTTATTTCCCCCCGCCTCCCCAATCTCCAGAATATACATGAACATCTTGCAGGAGGTTCAATTGGCCCATGGGATGCATTGGGAAATGCAGAGATAAAACTTGCAAACTAACTTCAAAATATTGATTTGAAGTCCCATATATTGTACTGTATGATATAATTTATGCCATCCCCCAACCACCAGGTGTTTTGTGCAGCCTTCCGCTGTATAATCCTACTACTTTCAACCTGCCAATCCATCAAAAGATGGGGAGGTTGCTTGGGTAGCAATCACTGCTCTGCATAATATGGTGTCCTGGATTCCAACCAGCTTCTGCAGGTTTCTCTACTTCAGTGTCCATTGCTTAGTTTTCTTTCAGGCTTGCTTTAATTATTTTGATATTCCTGTAGCTTGTACAAAACCTGCCAGATAGTGTGATTGGTTGCTAGTTATTCATAAAGTACTGCTGTGATGGTAGCATTTGTGTTTGTAAATAAAGAAGTATGTTTTATTAAACTACGTGAATCATGTTTTTCCCTTCTCTCTCCACCCCACCCATTTTGTGTGTGTGGAGAGCAGGTCTTTTAGGAACTTCCATGACCCAGATTTTATTTCCGCTAGTAATAAATTTATCACCTGCCCTTCACCAGCAGCTCCCAGAATTAATTCAGAATGAGAAACAGTTAAAACATGTCACAAGAATAATAAAAATAAATAAATGCAAACACTATTTTTATGTCCTGCAGAGGATTATGATGATGATGTGTATTTTTTTAAATTTGCCATTAGAACCTTAGGGACAAATCAGCTAGCTTCCTGGTTCAGTATAGTCTTCTTCATATCACCTTTACAATACACTATGCTAGTATGAATGTAATAGTTTGGCATTGCTGGCATGATGCTACAGTTGGAACAGCTGGTTTGTGACATCACAATTTGATAACTGCACCAGCATCGCAGAGGCATTAATGACTGAATGAACACTGTAGAAAAGAGCAGGGTTCAGATCCTTCTCTCTTAATGGTTAGTTTGGAAAAATGGTAAACTGCTTGACTGATGAAGTCCTGATGTTCCTCGTCTACAGTGCTGCAAATTTAAAACCACCTGCAAATTCAAAGCTAATCTGTGTAATTTCTTGTAGTTTGGTAGTATTTTCAATTTGAATCCACAATGCACAAGTCACTGTTGCGTAAGTATCGCTTCTTCTTTTGCCTGCTTTCTGTGGTACCAGATTTACGAGTGGGTGGGTAGAGTAAGAGTATTGGTAGAATTTGGGGTTAGTGCAAGGTAGTCATCAAACTCCATCCTGGTTCTGGCGTCATACATCTACAATAGTTGAGTGCCCGCCCCCCACATTTATTGAGATGCCCTCTTCCCCTCCAGGCAGGTCTGCTATAGTGATCTGTGCAGTTGGAGAGCATTTCTTTCCATACTGGCCTCAGCTGGTAGGACTAGAGAGCGGTTGACAAGCCAGAGCAGTGTGCTAAATGAACGAACTAAGAGTTTTATTCAGTGTATAGCAGCATCATACTTTCCTATGGTTTGTGATGTTCAGAAAACTATAATACATTTCAGACTGGAGACCTCAAATCAAAATTCCAGGGCAGGCCTCTTGTTGGAGTTCACTTGCTGAAAGTTTGTTTAGGAACTACAATAATTGTGCTCCTACTACTCTTCCTGAAGTACCTTTTACACGCATCTACTATCACAGGTCTGGTCCCTGGTTTTGTCTGTCTTTAGGGCTGGTATGTTAAAATGGAAAACACTGCTGTCATGGCAAATCTGATGCAGATTTTTTTACATTGCCAGAAAACCCAAGTTTAGCTCTGATGGCCTAATCATGTATTAAGGCAGTAAAGAGATACCAGTTGGGGGATCCCGGAAGTTGTTTTTTTTTGTTTGTTTACTGTTGTGCTGCTTCTGTCTTTTTCTATCATTTTTCAGAGAAGCACCTGATCTTGAGTGACTCAGTATTGGTTTTGGACTGTGGTGAAAGTACCATAAAGCTGTGAGGCTGCAATCCAATACATATATTAGCAGATGTGAAGTCACTGTGGCTCTCCAGATGTTTCTGGACTCCAATTCCTATAGGCCCAGCTGGTAAAACGAAAGATTGGTGATGACAGGAATTATAGTCCAATAACAGCTTGGAGGGCTACAGCTGTCTCAGCTCTGGGCTCTAGGATTGCAGCCATAATTAATTTACTAAGTTCTGCTGATTTATTGATTATGCTAAGCTTTTTTATGTGATATGATTGTGCTAGGGAGGCTGTGTCTGCCTGAACATGCCACCCAGAGATTGACTTAACAAAGCATTGCATAGCACTGTGCTACACAGCTGTTAACGTTTCCCTTTTTTAAAGGGAAATTCCCTTATTCCGAATAGGATTCCTCGCAAGAAAAGGTAAAAGTTGACAGCTATGCTGTGCTACTAATTGCACCTTCCTGCTTAACTTAGCTCACCTTTTGAATAAGTTTCTTTCCCTTGGCAGGCTGCCACCTGGCTGCTTTTTATATTCCGAGAATGTCTTATGGCTGGGGAGCAGGTTCAGGAAAAGGCATCTGTTTCACACCACAGAAACATTTATGATATTTTAACAAAGGATGATATTCAGGAGGTCATATAACGAGGCCGCCCAATGGATTGTAAAAGGACTCTCCAAGTATGATGGCTACAGAATCTGGCTTGGCCCTGGGCACATTGGCCTTTGCTTTCTTTGTACCGCTGTCAGTGGCTTCTCATGAGGCAGTGACCATTCCCGAAGCCCTGATGACGGCTTCAGGAAGAGTTGTAGTCAGTTCCACAAGCTGCAGCGTCACCTGTGGGCTGGGTTACAAGGAAGAAGAGTCATGCGAGATTAGGCCTGATGGGCAAAGGAGAGGCTGCAAACGGCGGAAGGTGGACTGTTTGAACAGTTGGATCTGTGGGATGCGGCACTTCACCGCCCTGGTGGGCAGGCCCTTCGAGATCAGCTGCCTAACCACTGCGGAGATAGGTCCCGACACCCAGAGCTTCAGCTACACATGGAGGCTGGCCCGAGGCATCATCACAACAGACGATACTCTCTTTGCCCCTTTCAAGAATCCTGGCTTTGTCATTAAGCTTTACCCCGCCGAGGAATACGATGCGGGGACGTACAGGTGCGATGTGCAGTTCATGAAAAACTACAAGGTTGTCAAGAGAATCTACTTTGGACTTCGCGTGATCCCCGGCGACATGGTGGATTTGAATTTTGACAAGTCCTTAACGCTGGGACAGCAATCAGAAAGTGAAAATAACCAACAGAACGCCACCAGCATGCCAGCCCAAGGTCGGTGGGGCTCTTGGCGCCAGAGGGCTGTGTTTGTGTTTCTGGTTGGCATTGGAAGCGGCTTGGTGCTTGGGGCTGTGCTGCACAGCCTTCTCTACTGTGTCCTGTGCCCCAACCCCCATGAAAACGATGAACGTGATGGGGAATGAGATGTGCTGTTTCGTAGACTTGCTATATTAGATTGCTCTTGTACATTACAATTTCACTATGTTAATCTTATCATTTCAGGCTTATGAAGATCATTTGGTGACATTAATCATAAACATAGTTCCATTTGATTTATTAGAGAGTAATAAAATTCCATCCTGTGCCTTAATGGTTAAGTGTGGGGAAACTGTTTTCTGCCCACAGGCCACATTTTCTCATAGACAATGTTCAGGGGGCCACATAACGATGGTGGGTGGGGCCAGAGGGGAAAGTGGGTAGGACAAAGGATGAGACTCTTACAGTAGGCTGCATTCCAGCTACGAAAAAGCCAGAGGTTTCTACACTTGCCCCCATAACAAACCAACCTCTCCATAATGCAAGAGGTATCAGAGTTCATGGAAATCTGCCATGCAGAAAAAAGCACTCAAGGAAGACACTTGGGAGGGGGCCTGCCAAGGGGCGTGGCCTAGATAGAGAGCCACACATGGGCTTCAAGTCTGAGGTTCCCAACCGCTGGTTTGAAGCCAAAACATCTGAAAGGTAGTGCAAAATCTGGGAATCAGATTTAGCTAGTGGGTTCTGTGGTAAGAGTACATGCTTTGCCTGAGCTACACTACTGCCTTGGTGGGTGAGCAGTTGACATTCTCTTGGGAATAATATCTGAGAATTTGATGGATGTTCCTTTCCTGTAAGGTGGGTTCCTTGGCCAAATTCATGACAGGTTCTTTCTATGACAGGTGGGCCTCAGTGTGACAGGGAGCTAAGTGGTCCAGACATGCAGACGATGACACCTTAACAGGGATAAACCTAATGTTTTCTTCTTCTTATTGGCTCCCACTACATTTCAGCATTAGCTTGCAGGTTTTTTTTAATTTCTCATGAAAATTCCGTACGGTTTCCATGCAAATTTCTCATGATAGACACATATTTGCTAACAAATTTCCCTAATAGCATGCATTGAATGTTATTTTTCACTAAGCTAATGTGTTTCTATACACAGGTTCTCCTCTACACACATTTTTGCACACGTTATTTGGTTGGAAAACTCCCAACACAAAATTCAGAGAAGCCCAAATTTCAGAGAGGAGCTGTGCTTTTGTTTGGATGTTTTGGGAAGTGTGAATCAGGTAGGTTCGCATTAAAATCCCAACCAAACTTCTCCTTCCATCCATCCCTGCATTGTTCAGACAATGTGAACTGCCTTTCCACCCCTGAAGGCATAATTGAAATTTAGGGGAGTACTGCACCCCCTGAAAAAAATGCATAGTTTATCTATCCTCCATGCATTTGCACAATTTCCCATGGTTGCCATCTCAGAGATTTCCCCAACATTTCAATAAAGGATGGTATATTTGCCAGGGTGGGTGCTGGCTATGTTTCAGCTTAACAAAGACCCCACCCCCACTCTTACCCTGATTGCCTTCCTTTGTCCAGCTAGTGGGGATATCAGCACTGTCTTATTTTTTCTGGCTCACACTTCCAACCTCTTGCTCAAATCATTCCCAACTTCTGGTTAGAAGAAATACACGTTTGGAAATAAGTCACAATGGAGATGTTCACTGAAGTCTTTTTGAAGATCTTTATTTAAGAACTGCGTGCTACTGTAGCCAATAAGTAACATTAATCATCATCTGCTTACAATGCTTGGGGGCTTTTTTTTTAGTTGTTCTATTCATTTCTTTAAAAAAATAGTGTACAACAAAATTACTGAGAATGTACTTGCGCCACCCCCATTTCCTGTACAATGAAACTGGAATAGAAGAGGCAAAGGAGAGTTCTTGAAGATAGTGTAAGGTTTTCAAGTTAAGTGCGAGGAAGCCAGACCCCAGATTAGTGATTAGGCAAAGCCAGAAGAAAAATGTCTTCCATGGGTGGCCAATGTGGTCCCCTCACTTGAGGCTGTGAACTGCAACTCTCATCAATCACCCAGGGCCATTGGCAGTGCTGGTTGGGTTTGCTGAGGGCAGCAGTCCACACCTAGAGGCCACCACATGGGCTGTTCCTGCTGTAGTCAGTATCAAAAGCTTGGGAGTCCACATCAGTTGTGTCATTGCGATGTGGCTTTGGTGAACTCCACTGCAATCTATAGAGTAGGGGTGGCCAACAAGGTGCCTGCCAGATGTTGTTAGACTCCAGCTCCCATCATCCCTAGCAAGCTTGGCCAGTGGTTAGAAATGACAGGAGTTGTAGTCCAAAACACCTGGAGAAAGCTAGGTTGGGGGAGGCCACAGACTACATTCAGCTTGTGTTAAGTTAATGGCCGTGTTACCTGGAATGGGCACATCCAGCCCTCTCCATACATGGCCTTCGGAACGAGTGAATGACCACGTGCTGTTGCAGTTACTTTAGGCCACTGGGTTGCTTCAAAACAGAGAAAGCAGGAATCCTTCCAAACAAAACCATACCATGCATACCACAGAACACATCAATGATATCCCTGACCTTGCTTGACCTTCACGCTCAAATCAGATGGAGAAAACCTTACTACCATCAGTGGATGAAAGCAGTGAAAGGCAGGCAGGCAGGCAAAACACGTTATTTGTGAAAAATAAAAATGCCGGTCTAAGTGTGGATAAAAACAATGAAAATGAAAAACAGTGTGGATCATGCCTTAGTGAATTATTGTACTTAGCAGTCAGACTAACCAAACCATGCTGTGTAATGGACACAGCTATAATAGCGAAAATATATATGTATATTTATATATATCTTGGGGATATATATAAAGGGGAAAGTTGTATTGTATTCTGGTATTCAGTTCCTAGCAGCCCTGATCCAGGGAATCTCAACTGCAAGAGGAGGATACAGAACTGCGGCCGCATTCAGGAAGCTGTTCCCTGCACACCCACAATGTGACCAGCACTGATCTCCCACTAGGTGACTGGCAGGAGGGGCACTGAGCCTAAGATGGGCACTTGCTTCTCCCTGATGAAAGCAGGGATGGGGAACCCATGGCTTTTTAGATATTGTTGGACTATACCTCTCATCATACCCAATTATTGACCATGCTGGGAGTTGAAGTCTAATAACACCTGGAGGGTCACAGCCTTCCCACTGCTGGAACAATCCTTGGCTTTACTAGTGATGCCAAGCTTCTTTGGGAAAACCTCTAGGTCCAGAGTGCAGATTTTTCAATGTCATGGGGAAATGCTTAAGGGTGGGCAGGCTTCAGTTTTGCAGGATCCACTTTTTGGAGTGGGAGGGAAAGGAGCAAAGGACATACACTTGCAGCGTATTGCTACGCAAGTTTGCTCGGAAGCAGATATGTACCAGATAGGAGCTTCAGGACTAACTAAAGTAAAATATATTAAAACGAAAGCAGCAATACAAAAACCCACAAATCCACACCTGAATACAAGCTCATAGGTGACATTTTGGGGAACCCCTGATCTAGCTGCAGTCTTTTCACTAACACTGTAAAGTAAGCCAGCATTATTGCAGGTATAGACTGAGAGTAGACCACACAACACAATGAGTTAATGACAGAGATTTGATTCAAGCCACGGACTTCATAGGTCATTCCCTTTAGCCACTATGTTTACCCCCAGCTCTCTGGGACCCAGAAATCTTTGCCAATCTAGGTAAAGGTAAAAGACCCCTGGATGGTTAAGTCCAGTCAAAGGCGACTGGGGTTGCGGCACTCATCTCGCTTTCAGGCCGAGGGAGCTAGCGTTTATCCAGACAGTTTTCCAGTTCATGTGGCCAGCATGACTAAACAGCTTCTGGTGCAACGGAACACGTGACGGAAACCAGAGCACACAAAAATGCCGTTTACCTTCCTACCGCAGCGGTACCTATTTATCTACTTGCACTGGCGTGCTTTTGAACTGCTAGGTTAGCAGAAGTAGAACAATGGGAGTTCACCCCGCCACGGGGATTCGAACTGCCGACCTTCCAATCGGCAAGCCCAAGAGGCTCAGTGGTTTAGATCACAGCGCCACCCGTGTCCCAATCTACTGCAAGTCCTCAAGACAGCTATCAGTAGATGCCGCTCTACCGTTACCTTGCCTGAAAACACTGATACAGTATAAAACCTGAACGTGTACTGCAGTTTTATTTATTCATGGTAAGTTGGAGTATGAATGTAAATGTAACAAAAAGAATATATTTCAATGCATGAGAAGAAATAACACAAATTCAAAAACAAATGCACATATAAATATACATACATACATACATACATACATACACACGTAATTTCACAGGGCTATTTATCATACATCCTAATCGTGTCTCACTTTTATATTTTAAAATACTGCTTTATTTTAAACAGCAAGTCTGAAGTCTAGAGTGACACTCATGGAAAAAAGTCAACTGGTATCCTTTCCAATCAATGTGTCACAGGTGAATTTTGCCAGTACTATGCCAGGGATGCAGTTCAGAATGAAGATACCTGGCCTGAGCCCCACCTGAGCCCAAGGAAATGTTAACATTTGCAAAGTGTCTCTGGCATGCCCAGTTCTATCCCATTCTATGCACATTACATAAACTATAACAAATTGTTTCATTAGCACAGCTATAGGCATGAAGTTCTCTGCAGGGTTCAGCCTCGTTTGAAGCTGAGCGGAATTGGAAGTATTCTAGATTGCATGCTAGAATCCAACAAAGATGTCTTTTTTGCTTCTCTGGAGAAATTCCCTCATTCTAAAATACAGCCTACCAAAACACACTGATGCACTGCACAAATGCCTACTTTGCATGCTTTTAGATAGGGGCATGAAACACTCTTATATGGCCCACGCAGGGGACACGGTCTGCCTCTCCCTTTTTGCCTGTGTGGAACAAAATCTCCCGCTTGCTTTTCTATACACCCTGACTTGAGTTTGCGCACTGCTGTCAAAATACTCCTTCAGGTCAACAGGAGGGAAGAACTGCAACAAAACAATATATGCAACTGAAAAGTACAATAACATTTTCGTAGCAATTTGGAGTCCTCAAAGTGCTCCTCGTACATGATCTCAGAGATCCTTACAAATCATCCTGAAAGGCAAATCAGTATTATTATCACACCTCCTATTACAGATGAGGCACTGAGGTTGAGTGATAGCGGCTTGTCTAAGGCCACCTACTGCATCCATGGCAGAGGCAAACTGTGTATCAAGGAACTCTTGGTTTACAGATCATGTCTCTTAGCCAATCACAACGCTGTGAGATAGGCAGATCTGTCTATTTCCAGTCTCTGTCAGTTTCTCACATGTTCGTTCACAAATCTATCACTTCCTGCTTTATCAATCTGCAATTTATTGAAAATCAATACAGAAATTCATATTTAAATATCATTTAAATATGTATTTTTATTACAAAAATCATATTTAAATGTGTATTTCATATCTATGTGTGCATTTCTAAATCTATTCTATCCTTAAGAAACACATATTATTATTTTTACACATTTTGGTATGTATTTCGAGCCAAGAAGTGCAAAATTGAAGGTCAACTATGGTCCAATCCACGTATTAGGCATGTGTTAGCCTGGGAGATGCAAATAAGGTCAGTCTGCTTAAAAATGTGCTCTTTTATCCCCACTTCCAACACTCCAGTGCAAGCTGGAGGATACCTTAAACACTTTCTTCTGTCAGGATAAAGATTTTTGTGTGTGTGTTTTTTTTAAAAAAGGCAGCTTGGTTTGGCACCCACCCACCCCTTAGAGGGAGGAGAGAACAACCAAGGGTGTCCCTGGGAAAGAGCAGAAGAGGGATGAGATACAACTAGCTTGGCCAAGGAGGTAGGGCCCTGACTGGATTCATAGACCTTAGTGAAGGAAAAAGGCCTTTTCATGCCCTTGAAAAGAGACAAGGCTACACCCCATCAAACTCAACAGAGATGAGCAGAGCAACAAGATGTATCCCGCCAGCAGCCATTTTTAACAGAAAGCAAATGTAAAACTTTTGGCATCGCACTTATACACAATGCTAGTAAAGTTACTCTACAGTTCTTAGGTTTTCCACATTACCAAAGTAGAGCAGACTATGTTGAGGAGGTGATACAAGACCACTGGAAAACAGGTTTCTGCGCCCTTTTCAGTTTGCATCTTGTTTAAGCATCAAAATATCAAGGCTCAGTTTTTCAAACACCCAGCCATCATCACTTGGCCCTCTCTGCCCAGGTTGTCAGGAGGACTTGGCTTGCTGGGTGAACACTTCCTTTCCCATCCCATGTTATATTACCTCTCACTGTTGAGGACAGGTATGGTGAACCTATGGCCCTCCAGATGTTGATGAACTTCAACTCCCATCATCAGTAATCAGCATGGCCAATGGTCAGGGATGATGGTAGTCCAGCAGCATCTAGAGAACCAAAGATACTCTGAACGCTGCCACCAGTATTTAATTTCTGAAAGAGCAAAATGGTGGAACTCAAGCTTGCCTGGAACCTGCAGCCTCTAATCAGATCCCACTCCATGGCTATCTAGAGGAGAGGTTAAGGTATGCTGCACATTTTCAAAGGCAACTTGGTTTGATCACTTGATAGGTTCCTGGTCCAAGCTCTAGCCTAATTTAAGCCTAGCATACCACAATGTGTTGTGCAGAGATAACTCACACCTGATGCTTCTGAGTAACATATCTTGAGTAGCCACAGTCATGGACCACATGAAGAAGGTCCCTGGTTCATTTCCCAGTATCTAATTACAAACAATTTGGGAATGAACTTTGCTTCATATGTTGGAGAGATTCCCTTAATGCCAACAAAACCTCTTAATGCCAACCAATCTACTCCAAACAAGAAATATACCAAGCCTTCAATAAAAATAGAGCAAGAACTCTAAAATTCACATAAAATATACAAAACATAGCTATAACTTGCATTTGAACAACAGAAGAGCTTCCATCAAAAGAGGAAGCTAGCACATAATTTAAGACTAACATTTCTAAAAAGGATGTAAATTATGGAGGACAGTTCACATTCTTAGGACTGGAGCAGACACAATAAAATAGACTTGTAACGAACCTTTTCTTTCTCTAGCTTTCTCCTTTGAAGGTGAGTGAAGTACCTATATTTACTCCCTTATTAGAGCTGATAACGGCTTGGGGAAAATTTAGATTGGGAGACGTTGCCAGAGTTAATCACCACCTCTCCAGCCAACAGAGTAGCTACAGGGGTTGCTATCCACATCCATTCAACACTGTGAAATATGAAGAACACCATCACCAAGGGGGAAAACACCATCATCAAGCCATTTCTGTATGTTTAAGATCTGAATAAGTTGTCCAGTCGCTAAAAGAAGCAACTCCTGCACCTTAAACATTTCCCTTCAGAGACAAAATATGTGGGCTCAGTAGTAGTAGTAGTAGTAGTAGTAATATACCCCACCCATCTGGCTGGGTAGCCCCAGGAAGCATGTGTTCTATTTTCTGAGTTCAGGAAAGTACAAGGGTGTTTTATAGTGTGTAACAGGATTCCTACACTGATCTTATTGGTTCATTCTTACAAGCTGTTTGGGGAGCTGAAGTTTTTTCCCCTTCCTTAGTTTACGAAAGATGTAAAGCACACTAAGAGAGATCAACCAGCTAAGAACAAACTTTAAATCACTGAAGAACATTCTGAGAAACAAAAGGTGTCTGTCAGCATTCTTATGTCTCAGTTCAGGCGCTCGATTGATCTACTATTTAGTTCTGACAGTGATCAGTAGGCATTGAGAGGCATAACATTTCCAAATATTTATTGGTTTGGCAACCACACATGACCTGAGAACTTTCCTACAGGTGGAAAGGCATGACAACTGAATAGATTGAATTTGCTCTCAGGCCCAAGGCAGGTTAATGGAAGTTTGGGCAGATGATATTACTATGTAAAAGTGGAAAGAGGCTTCTGCAGTAACCACCTCCAGTCTACCGCATTCAAACGTCCTTTTAGACAGACCCTGAACCTTTCCCTCCTGACATAAAAGCTCCTCTGGTATCTCTTTCTCTTCAGAACACCTAGTGAAGTGGGGCAGGGGGAGGAGAAGGAAAGAAAACCAAAGGAAAATGCAAGAAGTGGTAAATGCATGTGTGTTGCGCCAAGTGTGGCAAAGCACCGAAGATTACAAGCAGCACATACTGGGTGGAAGCCACATGGCAAGGCAACTTAATGTTTTTGGTTCCACCCGTGAGCCTCAATTTTCTACTTTTGGCAACCCATTCACAAAGCTCTGCTTGCTTCTTCTAAAGTCTGGGGTGGGAAATGCTTGTCCATCACCATTAGCTTTCTCCACTTCAGTTGGTTGCCATGAAAGGCAGTGATTAGACTAATGCTGCCACTCAGTGAGTTCTCCTTCATCTTTGAACCCAAGAGTCGTCAGTTCAATACTGGCTGGAATGATACAGAGCATGCTCGTCTCTTTGAAAACCTCTCCCCAAAAGATACTGCGTTTATTCTGTAATTTAAAAAAAGAAAGAAAACAAGGTTCAAGATTGAGTTTTAAGAGTCTGTTTCCTTCTGTACATGGCTTTGTAAGGCAGAAGAATCTACTGAATACAGTAATATGAGACAGCCAGTTTCCAGAATTCATATGAAATTCATCCTTTTGTTTCTTCAGTTAAAAAAAACCACTGACTGATTAAAGACTCGCATCTTGTATGAAATATTCTATTTTCTAAAAAAAGAAAAAGGAGGAAAAGAGTATATATATTTTTTCTCTCTTGAGTTCTTTTCTACTACTAGTTGTAGTGGAAATTTGTACTCCCAATGGTCAGTTGTTGATTTGCTCACTGGCTTGATGAGGAGGAATCCAACATCTCTCTTTAACAGGGGGTGGTTATCAGAGCTCCAAGCAACCCATTAGTGCAGACAGAATTAGTGAGTACATCAGAGCAACCACTGTATTTGCCACTGGACGGTCAGCAGAATTTTGCACCATCATACTGGTCCCTGTAAGAAAGAAACAATGCTGTTGAGTTGCAAAAACATAAGTAAAAAGGCCCTTTGTTTTCAACAAGCAGAAGCTTCAGAATTTCCTGAAGTGTTTGTTCTGCATTTTCCATTGTATGCTATGCTACAGGGGAAGGGGAAGGCAAAGGCAAAGGCAAAGGCAAAACACTGGCTCAGCAAGTCAGCATTGCTCCAATACTGGAGCAAACTCTAGATTCCAGAACCAGTGGGGGCAGATTCTGGGAGCCTGGAGATCAACGCTATGCATGATATATTTCTGAAGCATGGCTTGGGGTCTGTGTGTTCAATGAATACATTCTGATGTATGTGTGTAGCTTCCCTATGCTCGCATGCACATACCTGCTGCCACCACTCGTGATGACTGAATATGTGGAGTACCAGCCATGCTTCTGAAAGAGGCTCATGTGGTTTGTCCTTTAACTGTCCCTGTTATGGCTTTGGATTAGCTGCTGGGGCCATGACAATATAGCTGAACATCCAGGCCTATTCAAAACACCCCACTGATGGCAAAACATTTTTGAAATGGTGGAAGCCTATTGTGTGAATGCTTATGTACCTAGAGACATGTCAAGGGTACTTCAATCACCTGCAGTTTCCAGCTTCCCTCCCTATTCCGCCCATTAAATTCCTAGTTCCGCCTGTTACATGAAGGCTGTGCAGATGTTTCTCAGTTTGTCCTTGACTCCCAGTTTATCCTTCTTAGTCTATCTCCCACTGCAGATCTTTCTCTCCCTTTTACATAAGAGAAGTGCTCATGGTAAGATAGGCTAGTTGAAGGATGCCCAACTTTTACTTACATAAGTGAAACAAAGGCCAGCCAGGAGAGAAGTATTCTAAAATACAAGCCATTTATAGTGGGATGTATTTGCACAGAGAGTTTTGTTGATCTAGTCATTCAATTAGTGCATTGCTTAATTGATCACTCAACTGCTTGCGTTGCAATACATTTCTCAATATTATTGATTTACTGATGAAGAACTACTGTTTCACTCTGTTCTTCTCCAAGGTTTTTTTTTTTGTTTTTTTTTGTGTGTGTGTGTGTGTGTGTGTGTGTTTTTAACCAAACCAAACACTGGCATGATTATTTTCTGACTTTGTTCCAGAGACCTTTTGGAGTGTGTAGCTGATGTAACAGTCCTGCTTCTGTGTGCATATGTCAGCCACTATAACTGGATTTCTTAGGAGTTTGCTTACCTCTTCAAAATGAATTTGAGACAACTAAACTTGAGTTTAAGGGCTTACTGTTCTACCCAGTGCTTTTTTTCCTGGTGGTATGCAATGGTACACAGTACCACCACCTTTTATTGGGAAGGAGTTAGGAGGGTTCTTGGACCCTGTCACAGCATTGAACCTCCTTCCCTAAGCTGGCCAAATGCTTCCTGGACTTTGGGAAGGAGGTGCAACGCTCTGACAGGATGCTGGAGCCCTTCTGTCTCCTTCCCCAAGCAGGAATTATTCTATATGTAATTGCTTTTCCTGGCCCTGAGGAAATTTTGCACCCAGGGCAATTAACCAGAGTACCAGCACCTTTTTTCCTAAAAACAAAGTACTGGTGCTACTCCACCCTCCACCATGCTCCACTACTGCATTGCTTCTTCAGCTTCCTAAACACAGGTCCCAAACACATTTCACAGTGGTGGCTGAACCTGTACTTCTAGTGTTGTTATCAAAATTCTTACTCCCTGGCTTGGAAGTATGAACCTCAGAGCCACATGGCGCTTGCTTCAAGTGTAAGGTCACCCCTGCAGCCCTGTAATTCTTATCCAGTTAAGATTTTATTTAATCCAAGTCTGCGCAGAACTGAACTCCTTTGCCCCCTCATCACATATTTCAATTCACCCAGGGTTTTAATATGCATTAGAATGTTTATGGGATGGGTTCCATGTCCCATTTCACTACCAAATCAAAACACTCTGACTAAATACCCATGGACACTGGGCAGGAGTTCAGGCAAGGCACACTTTCCAACTCAAGTGTGGAACAAGAGTCCTTATTCATCCTACATACTGGAGAAATGTGACCCAGCACTACAGCATTCAATCTTGTTATTTCCCCAGCATTTATCCCTGTTAATTTCCCACTGTCACACCAAAGCAGAGAACCAAGTAACAAAGCCAGGGGAGAATAAACTTGCCCATTACTAAAGGCAATTGATCCTGCCGTTTTTAACTTGCCTGCTGGGGCGAAAAGTTGAGCCTACACGATAAATGTAGAATAAGGAGAAAAGAGAAGAGCAGACGCACCACTGTTTCTCAGGATGCGCACCTCTGCTGGGACTCCATCTCCCCCTGGACCAGTCGTCCTGATTTGCACCACTGCATGAGTAGAGTCTTCTGGAACCATGATCTCAATCCAATTTTTGGCGGCTGTGTACAGAACAGGAGCTGAGTGCGGGTCCGACTGGTACAGCATCTATTGGGAGGAGGCATGTTGAGTTTGCTGTTGTTGAGTCCCCTTCAACTTAAGGATCACTCCCATCCCTCAATTATTTTTAAGGAACCAGCAGTCACAGGGGCGGCACGTGCGTTTTCCAATATCTTGCAGAAGACTCCTGAGCCTGATCTTGTGCAAATTTACTTGGGAGTTAAGCCCTTGTTTAGAAATCAAATGTTGATGGGACTTACAGATAAGGATGTGTAGAGTCACAGCTATACACCCAGAGAAAATGGAAAGCTGCCCAACAGATGCAGAACCACAGTACAGAGAAAGAATGGAGCAGCCTTTTAAGATCTGGATTTAATTCCCCGGGGAAAGCTTAGTGGTTTTTAATGTATGTATTTGATGGTTGCCTTACTTCTGTGCTGCACACAGCATTTTATTGTGCTGGTTGTGTATCTGGACTTTTATGCTGGTTGTCTCTTAAGTTTATTGTGGTTTTATTGCAGTATGGATTTACTGTTATTTTTTATTTCATTTATTTTTTATTTGTGCAATGCCTAGAGCATTTATTTTATGAGGAGTCTCACTCACTCCGTAAATTAATGAAATACCACCCTGCCACCCAGTGTTATTTCTCAGGGGGGTATACTTTGCACTGACTTATTATACTGCATTTCAGAAGTTAAGAATCCTTCGGCCAAGGGCGGGGGATGGAGGGGGGACTTTCTACAAGTTACCTTGTACCCAGTGACAGCAGACTCATCTGAATTGGCGACCACAGGATCCCACTTGATGCTAATGCTGGTGCTGGAAAACTTCCAGGAAATGTTGCTTGGTGGCCTTTTTGGTGCTGGAGGATACAAAATGGCAGAGAGCTTTACTACAGCAACAGAAAGCAAGATAGAGGCCTACAGACAATGCTTTGGCTGATGAAATCCAATCCACACAACCCTTCCTCCCACCTGCCATCTACAAATCTGGGAGCATTCCCTGTTCTCTCCCACCCATTCCTCCTGTGCTCCACTTTCTCCCATCTCCTCAGTCATTCTAGCCCAGGCCCAGGCAAACTCCGGCCCTCCAGATGTTTGGGAATACAATTCCCACCATCCCTGACCACTGGTCCTGTTAGCTAGGGATGATGGGAATTGTAGTCCCAAACATCTGGAGGGCTGGAGTTTGCCTATGCCCACTGGTGGAGGAAGAGGAGTGCGGGGGGAACGAACCACCCCCGGCAGCACGATCCAGGGGGGGTGCCATCGCGGCTGTGCCCTCCACCCGCTCTGGGGGCCATGCCCCACTCCCGTCTGCTCTCCGCCCCCCAGTGTCGGAGCATGAAACTCTGCCACTGCCTATGCCTGTTCTAGCCTCTTGGGAAAGGGCTGTAGATCAGCAGCAGAGCATGCAGAAGGTCCCAAGTTCAACCCCTGGCATCTTCAGGTAAGGCTGGGACTCCTGCCTGAAGCCCTGGAGAGCTGCTGCCAGTCAGTGTAGATATTTTCTAATACTGAACTAGATGGACCAGTGGCCTGAGTCAGTATAAGGCACCACCCTATGTCTCTCTGCCCTCCTCCCACATTCTTACTTACCTTCTTCTTTTCTCCTCAATTCTTAGTCATCCCCATTTCTCTCTCCCAATGTCTCTCCTCCCTGATGTACATGTACAGAATACACTGAGCCCTCATTGCCATAAAGATGATACAGGAAAAAGTTGCTTCCCTCCCTCTCCAGCTCTAACTCTGGTAATTGGAAAGGGAATCCTCTCCGGGCCAGTTCTACCACAAGGCACAGTGTGCCATATGCATAAGGCATCAGATTTTGAGTGTCATTCAATAATGACAAATTGCAAATGTTAGAGGAAGCCACTCTGGGATGGATCTGCCGGAAATTTGGCAGCCCAAATTTACTCTGCAAGGACTCATTTGCTTGCAAATTTCATCCACTTATCTGAAAAGGGAGGAAAATTGTTAACGTCATTTGTAGCTTCTTCATGATATTAAATTGGGTGAAACAAAGCTTTTGACTTAACACATCAGATTCGGACCCAATTCACAAATCAAATCAGATGGATAGGGATCTGAAACAGATCAGGCTGCTTTCAAATGCTATGAATACAAGGCAAATGTTGTGGTTGGGGCACACCCTTAGTCAACACACAGACAACACCCTCCCCCCAACACTATATAATGTATATACTGCTTTTCTATACAAGAAGATAAACCCAAAGCAGCTTGCAAGTTAAAATAAATAAAACCATCACAGATGCAACACACATTGTAAGGCACAAAAACCACAGCAATAAAAAGAAAAAAACAGGCATAGTAAGCTACAGACACACATATCAGAGGCAACTGAAGTATTTACAGAAAAGAAAGTAGCTTCAGCTAATGCTCACTCACGTGGTTTTGTAGTCATGAAACTGGTGGGAGGACTGGCTGGCCCAGTCCCAGCCCGGTTGTAAGCCCTGACAGCCACACGATACTTGGTGTTGGCTTGGAGGTCTGTCACACGTGCTGAGTTGACAAGTCCCGCAGTCCTCACTCTGTCAGCAGCCTCCTCTTTGTCGCCATGTTTCCAGTACCGGATCTGAAGACAGGGACACATGGCAATCTGAGCTCCTTTGACACTGAGGTGTTTTATTTTTAAGTCAGCAGTAAGACTATTTCCTCAGCCCATATCAGCTTATCCGCAAGAGGAGATTCTGTCATGTTATCAGACTGAACTGAAGTGGCTCTGCAAACAGTTGCTGAGATGCCAGCATGCCAGTCCAATGCTTCTTTTTGTGGAGTTGTCTCTGAACCTGAGCCTTGCTCCAGATCCACTCCTTCCCATTTCTTCTTACCTCATAGCCCAAAAGGACTCCGTTCATTTCATGTTGCTCCACGGGATCCCAAGAAAAATCTGCTTCTGTGGCTGACACTGCCTTGAGAGTAACATTAGAGGGAGCCACTCTTGGTTCTGTGGACATACAACAGCAAAACCTTGGAATTATGGGCAAATCTAATCCAAGTCTAGAAATATCTGCAAGGCGCAAAGATCAGGAGCCAGACACTTGGTCTCCTGTCAAAGGGCAAGGCAGGAAACAACTCTTGCAGTGCTATTGATCTGGTGCTCTTGAGAGAAGCATCAGGTGGAAATTGAACTGAGCCTAAGCAATACTCGGAAGTATGCAATTCACTCTTATGATCCCAGCCTACCTTCCTCCGCAGAATGCACAATGGAGACCAGGCTCTCTGGCCCCTCCCCCTTCCTGTTGAAGGCCTTGATCTTCACTTCAAAGGGAGTATAGGGTGCGATGCTCTCATTGCGATAAACATAATGTAGGGATTCCGCATGGGGCACGCTTGCTGTCTTCCACACCTGAGTGCCTTCTTTGCGAAAAGAGAGCCTATATCCAAAGCCGTCTCCATTTTGGTACTCCCGTTGCATTGGCTGAAATGCAGGTTGGGACCAGTTGAGGGGGGGAACAAAACACAAAGACTCCACAACATTGGTCTGGATCCAGATTTCATATTCACATGATATGCTTTATACAGATTTATGCATACAACAGTGACATGCCAGCTGGTCAAACGAGCAAGAGAACAAAAAGGAGGTAAAACCTGGACTCGGGTAGCGCACTTTAAAATCAAGTATCCTTCCTAGAAATGAGAAGTACTTAGTAAAGTTATCTGAAGACTTGCAATGATAATTTTTTTACTTTTCTAATTTAAATTTTGAGGTGTTTTGTAATGAGTTATATTAGAATTGGAAGATATATAATATGCTGTGATATAAAGGTTACTTTTGAAAGCCAAGAAGTGGGAGGGAAAGAAGTCAGTAGGCTCTAAAGAGCCAAATAAGTTAAGTGGGTAACAATGATATGACTATATATGTTTAAATGGAAAATTAATAAAAATTATTTAAAGAAAAGAAAAGTACTATTCACATGGAAATAATCCTGGATCCTTCTTTAAAGGATTTGCGGGATTTGACTGCAAGTCGGAGCGGTTCCGCCAGGCCTTTGGTCGGGGTTCAGTCTGATTCTTTTCTTTCTGTATAAGAACAAGCATTAAAGAGGCCTCCTAGCCCGCTCACAGGTTCTTTATATGATCAGTGGTAACAGCTGGCCCTGGAGAATATTAACCACTCTCAATTTTACCCATGGACTGCCATCTGTCCAGATTTTAATTTGCTCTGAACTAATTTTAAGATGTATTTTAATTAATTGATTGCCTGTTTTTATGTTCTTAGTATACTGTCTTAGTTTTATGATGTTAGCCGCCCTGAGCTAACTACTACTACTATTATAGATCAAATAGGGATTTTTTTATAGAAAACAAAAGCCTATATTACTCTCGATTGATAGATTTATTTTACAAACACGTGCATACTGAACTTCTTTATTAACTACTTTATCTGCATAATAGGATGGCAAATGGTGAGCTGGCACCAGAAGTGGCCTGGGAGGCAGTGGGATCCTTCCAGCAGTGGAGGTGCCACATGTGGCACATGTGCCCTAGAACATGGACTGGGGGGCAACATCAGCCAGCAGGTGGACTGCCTGATGACGGGATCCCTGCCCAATGCTATGACAAACTCTGGTAAGCTGTAACCAAAGAAAGCTACAGTCATTGTCAACCCCTACTATTTCCATGTGTTTGTGCTCCTGAACAACAAACATGCTTTTGCACGTAACACACAGTGATTATTTTGCCTACTCCCAGAAGAAATGCAAAGAAAAACAGAGAGCTGTCAGCAATGAAATTGCCCACTTTTGTGTGGCTGGCTTACCGCCCAGTTGATGATGAGTTCTCCAGGTGCTCCTCCTCCTCCATTGAGCCCAGATGGTGCAACAGTAGGGGCTGGAGTGATCCCCCCAAAGAGAGACAGAAGATGACATGTTAAATCGGAAAACAAAAGTCAAGCAATACTGAAGAAAAGCACCGTTTCAATAATTAGAATCAATCAACTACATCATAAAGAAGGTATATTGAAGCAGAGATTCAGGTAGATTGTTCCACTGAACTTTCACCTGTGAAATATGAGTGTCAATTAAAAAAAAAATATTTAAAGGACATCACTTTGGAAAGTCTAAGGAAGTCCAAAAATGCATGCACTTAAAAAAGAAGGCCCAATAAATCACCGCAAAAACTTTGTGGAGTTTTAAAATCAGACGTTCTAGTCCTCATGAAAATGTGAAGGTCATGTATCTTATAAGTTCATAACCTGAAGAAGCAATTGATTGTGACAACCACTGGGTCAAAATAATTTCTGTGAGTCATTCCATCATTATAAGAATTCTGATAGCACCATGCAGTGAAACAACAGCAACTTCTTCTTCTTCTTCTGGCTTTGGAAAATACCTTATTACATTTTTACCCCACCTTTCTTCCCAAAGGAGCTCAGGACAACAAAAATACAGGCACAATAATTAAAGAGTTAAAATCTGTTTCAGAATAAAATATCACTAAGATAGATAAGTACAGCAGGTGAGCGAAGCAATTTTGTAAGAAGGCATTTTCAGATGACACCAAAATGCTGATCAGGTGGTGGAAGAGCTACAGCTCTACAGGGAGGGAGTTTCATAACCACAGGGCCCACCAGAGAGAAGACCCAACCCTGCATCACCACCGGGTGGTGTACTCACCAGCTTCTTTGGTGCGGATCTTGGTAGAAGGCACACTGGGTTCTCCCACTCCAAGGATGTTGCTGGCCAGGACACGAAATTCATAATCCATCCATGGTATGAGGTTGGCCACTTGGGCCGTCTCTGCATTACCTTCAATATTTGCAGGATCTATAACCCAAAAGCACGAGAATAGAACAAATAGAGCAAGCAGTGCTAAAGGAATAACAACGAAGCCTCCTACTGAAGCCTGTTCCGTGTGGGCCACTGCCCTCAAGACACTTACTGGTGCGCACTTGCTTCCACTTGGAGAAGAGTGGAGTGCGGGCCTGGATGACATATTTGGCAATGGGGCTGTGGTTATCAAAGCCTCGGCTCCAGCTCAGCTGCACAGTGGTGTCCTTGATGTCCCTCACCACCAGCCCGCCAGGTGGCCCTGGAGGACCTACCAAAAAGGGAAGAACAACAGACATAATGACATCCCAGAACCACTTAGAAGAACATTAAGAGAGAGGAATCTTGCTTCATGATACGTGTGCACATAATGCCTGTGCTAAAGGAGCTCCGCTTGCTGCTGTTTAGTTACTGAGCCAGATTTAAGATGTCCATTTTCCTACATAAAGCCATGAACAACTCAGAGCTACATCTTCTCCTGTACAGATTGAAGTCTGCAGATGGAGCCATCCTGACTGTACCAGGACCTATTAGGGGGGCAGTGCAGAGGAGGGACTTCTCCATTGTGGCACCTGCCATACGGAATGGACTTCCCACGGAGATTAGGTGAGCACCAATCATGTGGTGTTTTTGCCACCAATTGAAGACGTACCTCTTTACCAAGGCTTTCCCTGATCCTCAGTATCTTCCTATATAAAGAGAAATGTAAGGCTGTCATCACACAGCCCACGCTGAAGGATTTGGAGTAACACACCACAATTCTGGATTTGCATGAAGTAAATCTTCCCACCTTGTTAGAAAAAGGTTCCATCTCTCTCTTTTGCTTTAGAATGCAATTCTATATGTGAATGTGTATATTTGTATGAAATGTAACTGGGCAGTCCTTACTATGAGATCAGCCTTTGGCAACCCTCTAACTACTTTGGACTACCTTCAATGATGGGTATTGTAGCCTAAAACATCTGGAGGGCATCAGGCTTACTAGATAGAGCCAACTTTACTCTGTAGCTTGACCAGTGGGTGAGTTGGGTGGCAAGATAAATATTCAGCTCTTATCCTGTTTTGTGGAGAATATAAGTTGGTTGTCTTTCTGGGAGTGGGAGCAGGAGCAAGTGCAGGCAGGGAGCAACTTGTTTGGACTTGTCACTGCAAAAATTGTGGGGTGGCGGGACAGGAAAAATTACCTCTTACAACCAGCAATGCTGACTCAGAAGCACTGTCCACCACTGTCTGAGCTGTGCAAGTATATCGACCAGCATGTTTCAGTTGAGCATTCAAGATCAAAAGGTCTCCAATGTTCTCTTTCTATGATAGAAGAATCAATAGGAATAATGTCAGAACCAAGCTGAGAAATTGCGGCATGCAAGTTTAAAAGAGGAGAAAGGCAACAGAAAATTAGGCAGCATCTTAGAAGTGGGTAAATGATGAGATAAATCAGAGGACACCCCAATGAAAAGGTAGAAGGGTAATTGGTTCTCCTTGAATTATGACCACCTTTCTGGAAAATATAGGGCATCATGGGATTTGCAGTACTCACTGTACTAGCTCGCTTGTAGTGGCCTTCGGACTTGACAAAGTCAATCAGAAAGTCATCCAGGAACCAAGTAAAGGTGAGGTCCATTGTTGGGTCATGAGAGGCACGGCATTGAAGGGTAATATTTTCACCTACATTAATGTCAGCACTGGATGGCGCGAGGGTGATTTTAGTGGCATCTGCAGAACAAGCAGGTGAGACGATGCTTAGCTGTCAATAGTTGTTTGTGCGCATCAGTTTTCATTAACATAACACGGGCACAGAAAAAGGCGAATGACATCTGTCTCTGAATACAGATTTGCTGGTGAAAAAAATAACTATAAACTAGGAAAGCCCAGAGCACCTCAGTTATGGTTCTGCCATCCCCAAAGAATCAGTGAGAAGAGCTACAACACTGTCGTCTTGAACCAGTTGTATCTTTTACTGTGTGCTTAATGTGGCTGGAAAGGAAGGAAAGCCCACTTTAATTACTTCAGTGAACTAGCAATACACTCTTCTCTTGCTGTAGTACTTGCAGGGCAGACATGATGGCAAAATGTATTGTTGACCTTTCCATGATTGCAGTGTTTCTCAAACAGCACGCAGGGACTCGCCACATGGCCTCAGTGCCACAGCTTGCCCAGTGTTTCCTCACTTGCCTACCCACCCCTAGCTTTTCTGTTGGTCTAAAGTCAGCCTCAATTATTCCTTGCATGGTGGGAGAGAGAGAAGTCTGAGGCTAGTGGGAGAGAGGGAAGGGCTCCCTCTTCTGAGGGGAAAGTGCCAGAGGAGGTGCTGAAGGAAATGAGAAAATAAGATAATATAATATTTAACAACAACAACAACCACAACACCACAAACTGCAAAGGAAGGGGATAACTGAGGAGACCTGTTATGGGAGAAATAAGAGAATTTTGTGACTGTGGGCCTCAGTAATTTTCAGCCTCCTTGAGTAGGCCCTGGGGGTAGGAAGCTTAAGAATCCCTGCATTATTACATTTGGTCCCAGTGGCAATAAAATGCCCTTACCTCGAACTGAGAGAACTCCTGTGCTGTTTGCTTTGCCCATGAAATTCTCTGCGAAGCAGGTGTATTTGCCCTCATCTAACTTGCTAATATTCCGAATGATCAAGGTGCCATCTGGAGTGATGGTGATGCTGCAGCGGAAGAAGAGCCCATCAGGAGAAAGTGAGAGAATAATTCAGCCAACCACAGACCCGCTTGCCTGTCACGGGACATGTAGCATGAAGGCAGTGATGAATTCCGTCAAATGCCTCAGCCTAAAGGTATTGGAAATAATACGTCGTATAACATTGGCCTTCCAAAGAAAGACTGAGCTGCCACTGGGCTGCAGCGATAGCGTGGCAGCTCTGTTTAGTTTTGTTTTAAGAGATAAAGGAGAAAGGGTTACTGGGAGAAAAGGGGATCCTAAGTCCTGCCCCCTGTTAGGGGTTATTTACATCTGGTCACCTGATAGCAGAAAGATGATTCAAAAGGTGGAGGTGGGTCTCATATGCAGGCTGCAGTTAAAGGTGCAGCAAACAACTGGATAACTATGTTATTTTACAAGCAAACAAGCAACTCTAGTTACTTTTGGAAGTTTTAAATCAGCAGGCTAGGATAGCCAACAGTAGCTATGATTAACTTTCACCAAAAAGAAATACATGTCCTTACTCTTAAATAACTGGACAAGATATACATGCAAAGCTGAATACTCCCACGTATGAAATACACTTATTTAAAGGATATTGCCATTTTTCTGCCTCAAGCTGCCTGAAGGTGATGTGATTCAAGCTTACATTATCACTGTGCAAATCCTTTCAGGATACTGTTCTCTGTACAAGCTGTGTAAGGATTGGCAACTGTCTACCACTCTTCTATTATTAACTCTTATTATTAACCATCTGGGAAATCATCTTGTGTGGCAGGGAGGACACTCCTTCGCAGTTTCAACACTGCTTCTTGCTTGCTAGATTTTCATAGTAAATGTAGGTGGTGCTCCAAAATCCAAGCAGCCTAGTACTACTGAAGTGCTGAATAAAAACCTCTCACATTCCTGCACAAGTCATGCTTTTCCGTCAAGCTGCCATTTGGACAACAGATATCACTGCCCCCCCAAAAAAACGATTCAAGGGGCTTAGAGCAGAGCCACCATGCAAGAAGATGCTGCTTCTGAAGGATCACTCCTAAGGAGACTTACCCCACTGAACACACTGGGACACCCTTCCAAGTAAACACACATGGGATCAGTTCCACACAATAAATTTAAGCTAACCAGAAGCCAGCAGGATAATTGCACTGAGAAGGGACTGCATGTTCAAAGCTACTTAGTCTTAGCTAGGAACTAGCTTAAGGGTCCTCATACCTGGAGCTATTGCTCAGAAGCTCAGTCCCTTTGGTCCAGAGTATAATGGCCTTTGGTGCAGCTCTTGGCTGGCAGTGGATAATGATTTCTCCGCCTCGAGCTGCTGGTATTAGTCGCCTCACGGGGTTTAGCCGAAAATCTGGAGCAAAGGCTAAAGGGGAAAATAAAATGATTAAGTAGGTTTTACGAATGCTGAGCCCTGGGAATGGTAAAGGCGAGCTTCCTGTATATTCTATAATAGTGCAAAAGTAACATGATAACATATATCATGGCTTCTGTTAAATAAAGTTGCCTGTTTGTTACTTGGACACCTAAAGTAATGTTGTAACAGTGAGGTGGCTCAGTGTTTAGTCCAAGTGAGACAAATTTAACTACGCAAACCTCCAATTCATTTAACAAAATGCAAATGTGATCATGTTTTACACTGTGAAAATCAGCATGCTGCAAGTTCAGATCTCTGAAGCCCAAAAAGTCTGAAATTGAACACTTTGAAGAATAAAATGTCAAAACCTAAGCTTGATTAATACTTCAAAATAGCTACATCTTAAATTTTGAACAGAAAGATTACTGATTCCAAGAGTAATTTCAAGGTCAGAACTTCAAAACTCAAAACCCCAGAAGTCATTGAATTTGAAACTGATTGAAATGTGTGTTCAATGTCTAAAAGGGCAGCTGCCTGTTTCTGTTCAGTCCTGTCAAAGCAAATGAGCCAGAAATACACGCAGTTAATAAAATCTATAGTGTTAAAAAACAATATAGGGGAAAATGTTGTGGCTAATTAGAGAAGTTTAATTCACCTCTATTCATCTTACATCAGACTGAATTCACATACCAATATGGGTGAAAAAGTCTGCTAGTTTCACTATGCATGTAGGCATATTTCTGTCTTGGCTGCGACAGTGCCTTGATCTTTGAGAAAAACCAACTGAGATTGGCCGTAAATACTGTATTGCCTCATAACCTAAGCAGATGTTGACATTTCAAATTAAAACCATTTGAGGTTTCTTAGATTTTTCTTGCCACTAAAACTGCTAGAATACAATCTGTTAACAGCAGTCCTCCAGGACTAAAGAAAATAAAATGTTAAAAATGAAATTCACCATGAAGCAATATGGCAAAGTATTAGGCCAGTCCATTATCTTACTGCTTTTTAGACAGGGAATCTGCCAATATTTAAGATTAAAATCCAAGCATTAATACTAGTGAACAAGTCCCATTCAACACACAGGGCTCACTTCTGGAGAAATAACCCCCTTTCTAAAGCATATTGGTATTGCCCAGACAATCCACAGAAATCCAGAACGTACCTTGCACAGCCAATTCAGCACTTGCATAAATGCTGCCATGCTTGTTCTCTCCTACACACTGGTACATCCCAGAGTCCTCCATTGTTAACTTTAAAATCCTCAAATCCCCACTATTCACTTCAATGCGATTCTGTGCAAACAAGTAGATTAGGTGGTTAGATCACAACACAGAGCATGAAATGCAAGTGCTATATACACAGAAGTGAGTTTCAGTAGAGAACATCACATTACCCCTTCTCAGTAGTGACACGGTTGTGCTGTTCAACACATTTGCCCTATTCTGTGCCTGCTGCCACTCACGTGTCTCTGTGCATATGCCTAGAGGGCATGGTTAGCCTCTGGCCTATGGGCCCTCCAAATGTGGTCCTTTGGGCTTTCTTTCTGCCCCAGGGAGTCTCTTTAGGCCATGGTCTGTCTCCAAGGCCATGACTCCTCACTGTTCCTCATCAGGTTGTCCTGAATGGAAAGTTTCATTGAAAGGTGATTGTACCTCTTGTTTGAATGGAGAGATGTGTATTTGTTGTAATGAGTTTATGTATAGAAAACTCTGCCTTTTTCTTTGCTGGAATTCAGCCTACCAAACACAGGTAAGAGACATTAACATCTCTGTCAACTTTTGCCTCTGGCCCTGCCTTCCATTGGTATACAGCCTTTGGAAAGTTGTCTATAGATACAGACCAACTTTGGTATACAGAAACAGTGCAACAACTGAAGCACAGCAGACGTCATCTCTAAGGATATCTGTCCAGTTTAAAAAGCTATTGTTTGATATTTTGCTCACCCAGAGCTGGACATATTGTCTTGAAAAACAGAACAATGCAAATGAATACGCCATGTTCTCGGCAGATTCACTCCATTGAATGCCTGACCCCAATATTTATATGTGGCCCACGCTTTTGTGCCCAGAAATCTCTCCAACCAATTTCTCCTCAGAAAGACATCAGTTTATAATTTAAAGATCCTAGCATTGCAATGCAGATCAAAAATACAGTGGTGCCCCGCAAGACGAATGCCTCGCAAGATGGAAAACCCGCTAGACGAAAGGGTTTTCTGTTTTGTTTTTGTTTTTTTATTAATATTTTAATAAATTTTACAAAAAAAGATTTAACATAACAACAAAAATCAAAAATAATCACAATAAACAACAAACAACAAACATCAAAATACAGGAAAAAACAAAGAGAAAACATAAAAAACAAAATTTAACATAGAAAAAAAGAACTCTCTCTCAGGTTAATATCCTTCAAAACCTTATTTTCCTTACTTCCACCCGCCTTCCTTTCTTGTATTCCACTTTATAAATGAGTTTAGCAAGATCATTCATTATTCAGTTTTATCCTTATCCCTCCCTTCATATTCTTATTTGTCTTAATCACTAGAACCCCTTCATTTCATTTTCAATGTCCTCAGCATTCAAAAATGTTTACAATGTTTTTGTAAGTAGACTTTAAAGAAGGGGAAAGGGTTTTCCGTTTTGGAGGTGCTTCGCAAAACGGATTTCCTATGGGCTTGCTTCGCAAGACGAAAAAACCACAAGACGAAGAGACTCGCGGAATGGATTCTTTTCGTCTTGCGAGGCACCACTGTATCCAGTAGCTGAGGGGTTCCAGTCAGACAATTTAGAAGTGGCAAATAAGAACAAAACGACTATGGGGGAAACAAACAAACAAAAAACACACAACAGTTTTTGAGGCAAAAGTTAAGGCTCAAGTTCTTAATGCATTTTGAAGCAACTGGGGTCTCTCCCATGTGTACAACAATGTGAGGCTGCAATCCTAAAGTCATGTATCTGGGAAGAAGTCCCCACTAAATTCAATGGAACCTACTTCTGAGACAAATATACGATTATGCTGTGGAAAAGGAGCAGAAAGAGACATTCAGGAGCATGTGTACTTCTGTTCTTACAAAGGTCACCCCAGGTTGTTTTTTTGTTTTGCTATTTGTACATTAAGGTGCAGCTCTATCAATTCCAACTTAAAAGCAGCCAGGTTGCAATCCTCTTTGTTGAAGATCAAAAGTGTGGCACACTGGTGTAGCAAAAGGAAGGATTTATGACACAACAGAGGCCATCATACAAGGCAACCAAATCAGTTTCTGAGCCAAAACTGGACCTAAGCCCCAGTTGATATGGGTCTAGAAAATCAGTTTCCTCCAAGAGCACCTGGATCTGGTCCATGACCACCTGCTCAGGAACCTTGCCCAAGAAGGGGAGATTGGAAACTGAATGGCAATTACTTAGGTTTTCCGAATCCACATAGAGTTTCTTGAAGAGAGGTTTTACCACAGCTTTTTACCCTTGCCTTTTTACTATTCCCTCTCGCATGGAGGCATTAATCACCTCCCTGGCCCTTCCAGCTATCCTCCTCCTCCTTGCTAGTTTTTACCTGCCAAGAGGGGCAAGGGTCCAGAGTGCAAGTGGTCACCCAGACCAATCCAAGTACTTGTCCACATCCAGCCTTACTAACTGAAACTTATCCAACATAACAGGGCTAGACAGTGCTCTGGACACCTTTAGAGATTAATCTGCTGTAACAGTAGAGTCAAAGTCTTGGCAAGATCAAGCAATTTTATTCTCAAAATGCTTTGCAAAAAAAATCACAGTGAGCTACTGTCAGTTCTACCACCTCCGTTGAACCAAACCATAAAAGGCCCCATACTACCTGGAAAAGCTCTGCTGGATGTCAAATGTGGTTCCCATGCCTTCTTTGCTGCTTTCACTGCCACTAAATAGGCTAATGGTACATAGCTTGCTCTGTATTTTTATCATGTATTTCTCTGAAGGGTAACAAGGATTTCTGTATTTAAAGCCCTTCCTTTGTTTTCTGATCTGCTCTTGGAAAAGTCACACAATGTTAGCTAATATGTGAACTCCAAAGTCCACTACCCTTTCATGTAAGTCTCTCGGCTTTAGTACAACTTTGGCTTAATCCTTATTCTTTAAGCTTTCTGCCTTTGCATCAAAAGCCCTTCAGTTAAAATATCCCCTAACAATCCAAATTAACATGTTTGCTTATTACCCAGTTATAGCTCATTCACATCTTGAGTACCACTAATTCTTGCTAAGTTAATACCGACTGTGATTAATGGGAAGATAGTACGGAATGTGAGCAAAACCAAATTGTGACATTATTCATCCAATTAACAATTGTGTGATTATTTTAAAGGAAAACATATAGCAAATGCTGGGGGACGAGATTTGGACTGGGACCCCAAAGGGGCATTTAACCCTTTGCCTTGGCTGCGGTCCAAATCCAGACTACCCTGCACAGCTGCTACGTGCAGCTAGGAAAAACATCCCTTTGGTGCAAGAACCAAAATAAAATCCTCCCCTCCTCCTACACAGTTCTGACCCAGATCAGTCTTCCCCACAGCTACTTACTACTTCTTAATTATTACTTTTTAAAATCATACAACTGTTAGCGGCATTCATAATGTCACATCTAGTTTGGGCCTAAGAACATAACCAGGAGAAATGAGCATTTGAGGTTGTTTCCAGGTAGCTACTGGCTTGAGTTTACAGAACTGACAACAGGTGGCTGAACACAGGACTGTAGGGAGGGTCCACTGGTCTACCTAGCTCAGCACTGTCTACATTGACTAGTCGTTGCTGTCTAGGACGGGAGACTTTCCCAGCCTGACCTGGAGATGCTGGGGATTGAACAAGAGACTTTTTGAATGCAGGACAGATCTCTGAATCATGGCCCTAAGAATGCTCAATCATTTCTCTTGACCTTAGTATGGCAGCTCCTAAGTTTTCTATTAGTTAGTGGCAGATAGCCTGCTTTGTACTTTCAACTGTGGTTTCCTTTGCTCCCATTGTTTAAACAGGTTTCACATTTATTATTGCGTTTTTATGTGGCATTTCTATTTTGCACCCCACCTACAAAAGGTAACCACAGTGCCAGTGACAGATGGGCTACCTGAGAGGTTAAGGGCTGCCCGTTCCGTAGCCATTTGACGGTAGGCCTTGGCTTGCCAGCTGCAGCACAACTCCAGCGAAGGTCTGCTCCGATGTCAGCCTCTTTGTCTGAGATGACCTTCAGCCATTCTGGCTGAGCTATAAAAAGAACAAGAAGAGAATGGGACGTATGCACTTCAGACAGGAAGCAGTGTGAGATTCATGATGCTCAAGTTGTGGTGGGAATTTATTACAATGTGCGACCCCTAACAACCCACATTTCATTTCCAAAACATTGATTAAAAAAATATATGGGGAAAACATGTAACTTGGAGGTTCACAGATTTGCACAACCCATCTCAGACCTAGATTCTGCAGATTATTCCATCCTTAGGGATCCCTTATTTCATCGTTATGCTTTAGGTTTCCACCCACCCTGTGCACTATTTGGGAAATATGAAAAGCACAGAGAAAGGTTCAAGAGGGACCTCCAGCTCTCTTTTCATTTGGATCAATGTACTAGGAAAGATGAAGAGATGAGGGCTGCCTGTCAGGGAATTGCTGGGAGCTCCAACTATGCTGCCCCAAGCATTCTAAGGATGGGCGGGATAGAAATATAATAAAAGGATAAGATACTTGTGAAGGAACCCCCAGGAGTGCTTTACCTTGGATGATGATGCGGCCCCGATAGGTGTCTTTTCCTTGGGCATTTTCAGCTTCACACTCATAAGTGCCTTCATCTTCAAAGCCAATCTCCTTAAACTGTAGAAGGGGCTCCGTTGTGATCCACTCAGAGGACTGGCTACCATCCAACTTCCGCCATTTTATTCGAGGGACAGGGCTAGATTATAAATAAACCTCTGTAAAAGGGCACTTCAGACTTCGGGATCAATGCAACAGCAACAAACAGTGGAATCCAGTGCAATTCAATTATTTCCCTTTCCTCATTGTGAGCCTTATGTCTTCCATTTTTTAAACTAGCCAAGCTTTTCTCATTGACCTGTTAGTAAACTATCATTGTCTCTCACAACCCACACCTTAATTTACAGAAACAAGAGTTCTGTTGGCATTCAAGTCTTCTTACACATCATATCCTCTTGATGGGGGAAAAAAATCACTACCACCTACCCACCTGCGATTCTCAGTTTGGCGTGGTCTTTGCACATGCTCAGAGACACTCTTATTTATTATACCATCCATTTGAAGGCAAATACATAACATTAAAAACAGATTCTGGCGAGTTCAGGAGCAGCCTATGCACTATTTTGGTGGGGTGGGCAGTGCTATGGTGCCTTCCTCTTGACACCAGAATCAATGCTGCTTACCTGGATGGGGCAGGGCCACCCAGGTGCACTGGCAGCACCTGGTTGGCTCCATCTGTGTACCCAGGCAGCCCTGACTTCGCTGCTGCCCTGTACTACCCAGGTAAGTGGCAGCATCACCAGTGCTGGGAGGCTGACTCCACATCACCACACCAGCCACTCCTGGGTGGGTCCTAGCTCAAACTAGTCAACGTTTAATGACCAACACCCCAAAGTCATCTAAAGGATTATTAAATATTTCAGATTATTAAAAACCTCACTCGCAAACAGGGCAAAGGAGTAAAATAGATGGGGAATAGGGCTTCATCAAATGTTTGCTTGGTTATGTTCCAGATAATGCAGGCTAAGAATCTATGATCCTCAAACTTTCTTCAGGACAGAGTTTCTCTGATATTTAAAACAGCAGCTCTCTTCTTCCTTCCTCTTCTGCATTCTTGGTTCCTCAGAACAGAGTCTACAATATTCAACTCATAACTATGTTGGCCTGCAACTTTTCTGCTGTCACCAGCAAGAGACTAAATGCAATTGACACAAGTACTCACTTCCCAAAGGCAAAGCACTCCAAAGCCACCAGCTGCCCGGCCAGAGCATAAGTGTCAGAAGGAAACTTGGCTTTAATGCTGGGAGCAAACGGCCTGGAATCTGTGGGAAGGGGGACAAGAGGTTGAAAGCTTTAAAGCTACCCATGCAGGAGGTTGCAAAGCACAGGCCTCCAAAATGATTCATCTTCGAAAAAGTGCATGTTCGAAACCCAAGTTAAGTTCAGCATTTACTTTTTTGTGTACTTGCAGTTTTTACATTACTGTACTGGTGTGGCACAGCCGTGGCTGCCACACAGCCATCACCCACACTGCTCTGATGTAGCTTGTGATGGAAGAGGAGAGCGATGAGTAAGGAAATCCTGGTCCACCTCTGTTCCATCTAGCTCAGTGTCATCTACACCAGCATCCCTCAGCCTGGTGCCTTCCAGATGTTTTTGTCAGCAGCTCCCATCACACTTGACCATTGGCTGGATGAATGAGGCAGATGAGAGTAGGAGCCCAACAACATCTGGAGGACACCAGGGTGGGAAAGGCTGGGATAGACTGACAGCCACTGGCTCTCCGGGATATTAGACAGGAATCTTCCCCAGCCCAACCTGGAGAGACCAGGGATCAAACTGGAACCTGCTACATGCAAAGCATGTACCACACCATTGAGCTCCAGCAGATCCCCCTGAGATGGCCTTAGGCCAGCCACTCTCTCTTAACTGTCCCAACCTATTCTGCTATATGGGGATGGTAAGAACGACCTACCTCTCCACCCACAAAAATATTCAGATCACCAAAGCCACTGGTTGGCTCCAAGGAGGAGGACTCAGATTTCAGCACAGACAGCCAGGAAATAAGCACTGAATATCACCCAGCTGCATGGAAGGCTCCCCACTCCCCATGAATAGTACAACAGGGGACACTCTGTAATCAGGGACAATGGCATCTTGCAGTCCCAAGTAGGCAAGGAACTGCTCATAGGACACCATACATGGTTGGCAGGTATGTTTGGCTTGGTGGGTCACAGGCTCTGCAGGCCTACTTCAGAAATGCCTCCATCTAGAGTTGGCCCTCCTAGGGCCTCTCTCAGAGGGATCTGTTCAACTGGGCTTCCAACACTGTGGGTCACCAGTGCACTGACCTTCTCTGAGAAGATTGAGCTGAGAAACTTTGCTAAAGACACTCTTCTGAATGGAATCAATCTGGCCAGTGACAAAGCAGGAGTAGTTGCCGAGGTCAGAGGCCTCTGTCTTAGCAATGTAAAGGTTTCCCGTTTTTTGGGAGATGAAACGCCTTCCGTCTGCTGGGATGAAGTTGGGGAATTCGTTCACAAACCAGCGGTATGCAAGTCCTGTGTGCAAAGGGAGAGAGAGGGAGAGGATGAAACACTGGCTCCACTGTATCAGAGTGACGCTCGGAGGCTGACCTCGGTAGGCTATTTCCCAGACTGAGACACAAGCTAAGTCCAGTAGCTATTCATTCACTCTGAACAAAGAAACAAAAGTGAGTGTATTTGTTGTTATTCTAGACGGGATGTACAATGCTCCCACAATGTTCATTTTTAGAGAACTGAACCTGATGCCCTCCAATTTCTTGACAAGAACTTTGGACCTGCTATTGGTTTCTTCCTTTACTACTTCCGACTCCTCATACCACAGATTGTGGGCTAAAGTTCAACAGTCCTGTGGGTCTCAGCCAGAGGTTTCTCAAAGTTTTCCATACCAGAATTCCCTTTCTTCCACCCCCACCCCCACAAGAGATCTCTTCTCATTCACATGCTCTTTTCCTTCCTTACATGCACTGCAATCCCCCACCCACTCAGTAATAATCATGCCGTCTCCTGATAACCAAAACGTGTAGGGTGGAAGGTAGAGATGAATTGAAATCACATCCCTGAAATATTCAACTACAGATTCGCCTATACAAAGAGCATTAATGATTCAATTTCTACAATATCAGCGTCTGGCATGAAATCGACAGCACTGATTTTCATTGTTTCCTGGGAGAATTCCAGAATTCACAGCCGCAGAATTTAGTCTGAGATGAACAGAGCAATTCATGCTTCTTAGAGAACATTTCAGCTACCTGTACATACAAGAAAGCATGGGATGTAATAAACCAAGACCTACTGTGAGTAGACCCATTGAAATGAATGAACGAACCTAAGTTAAACAGATAAATTACTTTCCATGAGTCTACTCTGAGTAGGACTAGCATTTAATACCATCCCATGGCAACTGCTGTTTACACTTGATAAGCAGGTTATTGCTTCAACCATAAAGACCAGGCACAACTTAGCGCTTATCTACGCCTCTCTTTGCCTGCTGCTTTCCCTTGGTGATAACCTGCAGTTTAGCAGGTTATTGGGTTTTCCATGGATTGCCATTTGTTCCAATTTAGCACAAAAGAGGTTTTCCAAGGGACAGAGGCAGGGCAAAGGGAAAACTGCTCAGACCTATATGAACAAAATGGAAAAGTTGGAGCTTTCTTTCTTTTCTTCCCCTCCCCCCTTTTGTTTAATTTATTTCAATCTGATATAAAATTACAAAAAAGACTTCTCAAAGACAATGTAATTACAATATAGATTCCAGTATATTATAAATGTTAACCATTAATCAAACAGAGAGACATTTAGATGCAATACATTTCTCCTTTGGGAGAAGCCTTGGTAGTTTATCAATTTCTGCTGTGCTCAAGTCTGGCTTAAGCATTCTGGTGCAGAAAACAACAACAGCATGTTTCCAGTATTTTGCAAGGATAATTGTTGCCACAAAATTTTTAAAAAATCAGTGATTTTAACAGCAAAAGGAGGACATGATTACATAAGGTGTGGAGAAAGTGGATTGTTTTTTCCCTTTCTCATAATATTAGAAACTCAGGGACATCTAATAAAACAGAAAGTTGGAAGATTCAGGACAGTCAAAAGAAAGTACTTCACAGTTGACTATGGAACGTAGGGCTATCAAGGGTTCCTAGATGTAACAGCTATGTTCTGTCTCCATGATCAAAGACTGTAATGATTCTGAGTACCAGTTGCTAGAAGCCACAGGATGGGAGAGTGCCTTGCTTGCTGGTTTCACACAGCCATCTAGTTGGCCACTGTGAGAGCAATATGTTGGACTAGGTGGAACAGCTGGCCTGATCCAGAAGGATATTCTTAGGTTCATATGAATTAACTACCAAACAAGGTAATAATGGCCACCACACTTTAAAAGAGCATTGGACAAATTCCTGGGTGATAAGTTTACCAACAGCTGCTAGCCCAAATGGTGATGTTCTGCTCCAATGTTTGAGACAACATTCCTCTGAATACCAGATGTTTGGAACTGAAAGTAGAGACAGCGCTGTTGCACTCATGTCCGGCTTATGGACTTTCCATGGGCATCTGTTTGACCACTTTGAGAACAGGCTATTAAACTAGATGGGCCTTAGGCTTTATCCAGCAGAGTTCTGATTATGTTCTCATGAAAGGAATGGCTTTGTCCAAATTGCTAAACACAATTGTGTATGGGTTTATACCATTAGCTACCCCTGTCATTTGATGGATTGCTCCCTGAATATGGGTGAGAACCTCATTTCTAGTGTGCTGTCATTGTCTCACCTGGGTAATGGGGAGGTGGGCTGCAAGTAAACATCACCCCCCAGCCCTCCGTAACCCTCATGGGGTCTCGCTCTTCTGTAGAGAATTCCTGCAAAACTAAACACAAGAAATGAGTGGAGGTGATGAAACATGAGCTATGGAAGCCTAACAATCTTACAAATTAGATCTTTCTCTGCTCAGAGAGAAATGATGCTAGTTACAGGCAATCATGCTTCCATCATATCAAAGGGAAATTAAATTGAGAGAGTAACGGCAGATGGCATCAGCAACAGCGCTCAGAAAATGTGCTGGGAATGAACTAGCTAAATCAATACTATCCCCACTGCAATTTCTATCATCTATCTATCTATCTTTTTCAAACATATATTCAGCCATTTTGGTCATCAGTGGCTCCTAAAAATGGCTTACAAATTTTAAAAAATACACACACAAAAGCAAAAACCCCAAAATTAAAACATGTGAACACCTCAACGGACAAACAATAAAACATCAGAGCAGCACCACCAAGATAAACAAATTAGAAGAACTCAACCCCCTGTTGTATGAAAGGAAATGCTTTTGCTATCTTTCAAAAAGCCCTTGGTAAACCACCCTGGGTAATCAATTTTACAGAGTGAGTGGCACCACCAAAAAGATCCTACCCCTCATGTCAGAAGTCTGAGGCATACGTAAAATTCATACAGAATATCATCTGATGACCTACGCAAATAGGAGGAGACAATCCCTGAGGTAACATGGAACTAGGGCTGAAAGGTTAAAAACACAACCCAGTTTTGTCTGGAAAGTAACAGGAAGCCAGAATCAGAAATAAGCTCACGGCAGCTGGCGCTAGTTCACAGCCAAGCTGCCCCAGAACAACCACATTTTCTAAACGCACTCTCTATTCAGCAGTGATGGAACTTCTCACATCCACATACTCATCAAAATAGCTCATGTCTTTAGCATCTTGGCTGAAGTCACATAACCCTTGTGGTAATAATAATAATAATAATAATAATAATAATAATAATAATAATAATATAATATTTATGCTCCACTCATTTATGCTCCCAATGGCATCTTAAAAACACGATAAAACATCAAACATTAAAAACTTCCCTAAACAGGGTTGCCTTCAGATGTCTTCTAAAAGTCAGATAGTTGGTAAAAGTTCCCTTTAAAACATACTTCAAGAACTTTAACCTGGTTATGCTTGGAGCTCTCACAACACCATCCTTCTCTTGCTCAGTAAAATGTTAGCCAGTTTTAATCCATGCTGGTGTCCAGCATTTGGCCCTCCTGAAATAGCTGTGATATACATGGGCCACCTCACTCTCCTTAGAGGGGCAACGGTTCAGAACCATTATCCAAGTGCCTCAATTCCCACAGGACAATGAAAGGGACTGGGGTCCCCATTCATGTTCCCCCCTTTGTTTGTCCTCCACTGTCCTCATCTAAACACAGATCCCTTTGTGCAAATAGATGGGATCATGCAGACCATTTGGGCACCCCGACCAGCTCCCTCAAGTCCCCAGCCTCCTCTATCACCCCATCCCTCTGCTCAGCCTGCTCCATTTGTATGATTTCTGAGGGCACATGCCAGCGTATCCAATTTCTTGGAGCTTCACTTCCTCCCTGGCTGTGATGCTGCTGGAGAACCATGGATGGCACATTGCTTGGCTCCCTTCTGTTTTATTCCTCTTTTGCACCAAATTGTCTTCAGAAAATCCACTTACAGCCAAAGCGAATGGAAGCTTCTCTGCTGACTACTGTGCCCACCGAGTTGGATGCCACACACTGGTAGGACCCAGTGTCTTTGGCTTTCACTGGGTTGCTGATCACCAGGTTGCCCCCGTTCAACCTATAACGGGAATCTGGCTCTATTTTGATCTCTGTGCCATTCATCTTCCACCTGCCAAGACAATGGTATTTGGTTGGAGTGGGGAAAGAACAAAGTCATCACAGCTGCACATTAACATTGTCCTGAATAACAACACACACTGGCATTTATGATGTACACAAAAACCCTCAATAGGACCTATTGTAGGACAGTGGCTGAATGGTGGGTGCTGTCTCAGTAGCTACAATGCCAGCCCAGTAATCAGGGGGAGAAATGGCTGCACTTTGTCGAATGCTAAGGAAAATCCAAATCTCAATGATTATTCTAAGAGCCTTTAGGCTGTGTTTTATCTCACCAGGAAGCACATCACTCACTAGGGTTGGCCTCAACATCTCTGACTGGGTTTGTTTGATACTGCTATAAATTATTTAACTTTGCTCTGCAGGCCTTCCTGCTTTCCAGATCTAGTCTTCTGAAAAATGCTCTCTCAATTTGCCCTATCCTGTTCATGGATGCTTCCAGACAGGTACCCTTCAGCAGCGCCCAACCATTGCTCTTCTGCTTCCAGAGTGGAATAACAATGCTATTCCCAGACTTCTGTAAGGAGCCCCACTTTCCCCAGCCCCAAACATTTGGAAGGGACACTTTGGAAGGGACATTGAGACCATTGTGTATTGGGAAAGGGTTAAAGCAGGCATAGGCAAACTCGGCCCTCCAGATGTTTTGGGACTACAACTCCCATTATCCATAGCTAACAGAACCAGTGGTTAGGGATGATGGGAACTGTAGTCCCAAAACATCTGGAGGGCCGGGTTTGCCTATGCCTGGGTAAAAGACTCCTTTCACCTTCATTGCACTCTGAGTCATGATTCCAAACCCCGACTACAATTGGGGCGGGGAAGAAAAATAGCCGGCGTAAAGGAAAAAGGACTTAGTGGAGTTGGAGTGGATTCATGGAGAGAAGAGACAGACCAGAGAGAGAAAATAACTACAGAGAGGGTGGGGAACCTGTTTCAGCCTGAGGGCTCAGTTGGCCACCTAGTCCAATCCCCTGCAATGCAGGAATCCTGCCCACAGCTGTCCCCAGGCGGCCTCGAACCACCAACCTTCCAATTAACAGCCAGACGCAGGGACCCATTGCACCACAGATGCACTAACAGAAGACGACTTATCTGCAATCTCGGCCCTGTGATGCTTAGTACCAAGATCAGAGATCCCTTTGCCTAATGGTTCAGAGCATATCTCCAATCTAACGATTAGATTTTAATCACGAGAACTTAGTAGATGTGCCAAGCAAAGCAAGGCGAGTAATGGTAAGTCAGAAAATGACATGGAATGATTGGCAAGTGGGCAGGGCTTATTGGGACTGGCTTGGTTGGCCAGATTGAGGGATGTGGTGGGCCACATTAAGCTTTTGGACCAGAGGTCCCCCACTGATGAGTTAGAGCAGGCTTCCTCAAACTCGGCCCTCCAGATGTTTTTGGCCTACAACTCCCATGATCCCTACCTAGCAGGAACAGTGGGCAGGGATGATGGGAATTGTAGTCTCAAAACATCTGGAGGGCTGAGTTTGAGGAAGCCTGAGTTAGAGCAACTTACCCAGGCCAGAATAGCTGTGCAATAGGCCATTTATGTTTATTGAATTAAGTAATTATTCCACTGAGCTGAAACACCCTCAGGTTTTCTGAACTCAAAGGTGGGGAGGAAGCTGAGCAGGGAAATAATGAAACAGAGTTTAAACCAACATATTTAGTCTGCAATCCTATATTCACTTTCCAGAGAATCAGCCCCATTGAACTCTGCAGGACTTACTCTTGAGTATAGGATTGCCCTGTTTAGAATCCCATGGACATCAACTGGAGAGAGTTGGAATGCACTCTTTTCCATTTAATTCAATGGGACAGAAAATGCTTGCCTTTGGTCCCTGAGATGAATGGGCAGGACAGCAGGGTATGTGTGAATGCAAAACAACAACAAACCACTGTCATACATTTGTGTATATCGCAGCCATAGGCTTTCCAACAAAAACACTGCTATGATCACGTAACCTCACCTATAGGTCGCAGGAGGGCTGGCTCGTGCTTGACAAACCAACAGTATTTGCTCCTCTGTTGATCCTTCTGGAAAGATGATGTTACGTGGTTGTTCTTCAAAGATTGGCCCATAGTTTCTTAGAGTACTCTCTGCTGGCTGCAACACTGCATGAGAAGGTGAAAGAAATCTGAAATGCTCAGACTGAGTACAGAACAGAAGCAGTAGGAAACATTTAATCAAAATGACAGCTGCTGCGAACTCTCCAGCTTCAGCATTCCACTAAACAGAAAGAGGTGTTGTGATGCTCAAAACCTTGCAAAACTGTATTTCAGCATCCTGCTTCATCTGCTTTGTATTTCCTATCCTTCAGACGATCACAGCAAGCACAGGCCCTTTGCAGTGGTGGCCTCATGTCGACAGAACTCAATCTCAAAGGATGCACATAAGCTCTTTCCAAAGAGGCCTCCAATAAGTTTTTATATTGATCTGCTTTTTGTTAAAGACACTGGGGAAAGTTTTAAATGGTTGCTTGATGTCAAATAATGCTAAACTTCAATTTGTTTTCTCTGGATTGCTGAATTGATCTGGAGGTATTATATACTGCTCTTTAATGCAACATTTCACGTGTTTTTTTATATGTTATGTGGTTGTCATGATGCTAATGATGCTGGTTGTGTATTAGCTTAAGAGGGCTTTTGTTTTGAAAGGTGGCATAAAAATTCTGAAATAAAATTAAATACTCAACTTTCCTGAATATTGAACTGACATAGATTAAATCAACCATTTATAGTGATCCTAAGCTATTTACAATAACCATGTAAAAAATCCTAAAATGCTGGCCGGTTGAGGTTCTTAGTTAGAGTTGCAAGATCTTCTTCCGAAGATGGGACCCATGCCTATTTGCTGAGGCTATTTGTCTCAGGATGGACCACAGCTCAGCGACAGAACATCTGTTTCACACACAGCAAGTCCCAGGTTTAATCCCCAGTATCTCCAGGTAGGGCCAGAAGATATTCCTACCCCAAACTCTGGAGTGCATCTGCTAGAAAGCTGAGATACACCTGAGCTAAATGGACCGATGAACAAGATGGAGCCATGCTCTGAATTGGCACAAGGCACATTCATAAATTCCAGCTGCTGACACAACATTAGACTTGCTTCTGTGCACATCTGAATTTTCAGCTGCTAAGTCAGAAAGAAGCCAGGATTACCCATGACTGAGGTATAGGATGTGAGTTGCCTTTTCATATTATATCTGCCTTCGCTCATGTTAATTCTCCCCACCCACCAGTTTTTAGTAATCAAAATATATCACAAAAAGAAGCTGTTCATCCATCTTTGTTTCAATGTGAACGGTTATGACAGGCATATTGCTGCGTCACAAAGCTTTGCGGCTCCTCAAAACGAAATCTATTTCAGAACCGCCCAGCTTTCAATCATCAGCAAAGCTGTAGTAGCCGGGGTGGGAAACAGAAACTCTGTGCTGCATCCCTGACTCATTGCCATTATCTTGAAAGTGCCTGTTCTGCCACTTGAAACCAATTCCCAACCCTAGCCAGTCTGTTTCATTATGTGATGAGATTAGAGCTCTATGAAGCCAGTAGCCTGGCGGGAGGCTCCCAAGTGGTTTAGAATGGAGTTAATCGCCATCCCACCAGTTAGTCCTCTCCCTCCTTTGTTGCTATGGACAGGATGGCATTGTTTCAAACTTGCTGTTCTCACAAGCACCATATTTTATGCAACAGTGGCTTCCGACCGGGGGAAAGACCAGCAGAACAAAAGTTCAGGCTCACCAACCCCTTGACTTGGAGATCTCTTATTTTATGTCTGGGCTGTTTCAGTTTATGCACAGGAAAATGGGGGGGGGGACACACTAACCTAGTTTCAGCAGCTGCCTAGACATTAGCCAATTATACATCGCAGCCACCTCATGCAGCGCTAAGCTAAGCCAGTTATTTTATTATGTGTAGCTAGCAGGGACCGATCCACTTTGGGCCACATCTCCCGCTTTGCTTAAGTGTTCCTTCCAGGCTTTGGGAAGAAAGGAGTTTATCCTAATGGGTTGGTCTTTCTAGAGTTGCTGCTGGGGTCACTACTTCAGAATAAAATAGTGGAAATATTATAAGAGACCAGCATACGAAATGATCTTATACTGAGTTTGATCACTGGGTCTATCTAGCTTAGCAGTGTCAACACTGACTGCCCGTGTCTCTCTACCTGGAGATGCCAGGAACTGAACCTGGGACCTTTGGCACAGAGTAGGTGCTCTACTGAGCTGTGTGGCTTCCCTGATATGGACACAGTGACTAACAGATTCAGCGAGGTCTGGCATACTGTACCTTGAGAAATATGCCCGCAGTTGAAAAACGAAGCAATGATATCTAAAACAAATCTCCTTTCTCCAGGCTGCCCTGCTCCTCACTCATCTATTTCTGTCATTTGTGAAATCTATTCCAGAAGGGGATGCTTCAAATAAGCTCACAGGAAAAGGCGGGAGAGGACATTATAGGAGGGTAAATGTCATGTGAATGAAGAACTGCTCCTATGACAAAACAAGACTGGGAGGGGAGCCCAATTTTAAGAAGGTGGAAGTGGAAAACTGCCCCTCGGCTTATCTCCCCACAAGGAGCATTTCCCTCAGCAGAGAGCCAATACTAGAAGTAACTTCAGGAACAGCCCTTAGGGAGCAGTGCCAAATTAAACCTTGTGGGGGGCCCTAGGCACTCAAAATATCAGGGGGGAGGGGGCTCGCTATGATGTAGGTTTCTGAGTCAATGGGGATTTCTCTTCTGTTGTTGCAGGGCTCCTAAAAGGCATGAGGTCCATGGGGCAGTCCCATCTCTGCCTATTTGGTAATCCAGCGCTGTTAGGGAGAGGGGAAATGGTGAAACAAGCTGTGGGAAAGGGAGACTTCTCTAATTCTCACCCACACTCCTTTTCTGTGGTTAAAATTGGATCCACCCGCACCCTAGTCTTCCTATATTCTATGTACAGGTGAAATCTACAGAACTGTCACCATCACGTCAAGTTTAATCCTAAGTGTATTATTATTATTATTATTATTTACATTTGTATACCACTTTTATATTCCAAGGATCTCAAGGTGGTGTACATGGTTCCCCTCCCCCCCTTTCATCCTCACAACAACCCTGTGAGGTAGGTTAGGCTAAGAGATGGTGACTGGCCCATGGTTACCCAGTGAGGATTCGAACCCTGGTCTCCCAGGTCACAGTCCAGCATTCTAACCATTACATCACACCCTTGTCAGTTCCACATTCAATGCACATGTAAAGCACAGGGCTTTCAACAAAGAGGTACCATAGTTTACCTCTCATAGAACTACAGTTCCCAGGATTACTTGAGGGAAAGCCATGTGCTTTGTGCATGTCGGTTGTGCTTTAATTGTATGGTGTGGATGTGACCAAACCAAAAGGGGTTTGTTGATTGTAGAGAATACATCTGCAAGTATGCCAATAATGGGCTCCCCACTACCTTTTTCTGTGGTGGTGGGGGTACTTTGGTAACATCCAAACATCCATGCACCACTTGTGCTGAGAACACATAACACTGGATTAATTGAAAACAACAAAAAGATAAAACTAGAATAGCGATGAAAGACTCATTTGCTCCTACTTGAGCCTGGGAAGAGGTATGTTTATCCCGTCTCAGCTGGAAGTGGCTTTGTCCTTGACACTGAAGGGGCAGCAGAACAATAAGGATGCAATATTGACTTAAGGAAGATTGTAATCTGCTAATGACATTCCAGTATCTAAAAGCAGATGTACTTAAAGCTCAGAGTCATCTGTGGGGCGGGTGGCAGCCGGGGAGGGGGGGGTGGAAGGGCAGAAAGGGACAGGATTCACGGAGGGTACTCAAAACGCAATAAATAATTCATGATAATTGCAAGATATTTTGCGTTCAAAAGCCCTGTTTGTTAAACCTCAAGCTCCTGGTTCCAAGTATCAGGGGAGTGTGTGTGTTTTTTTTTAAAAAAAGAAGATTGCAGAAGCAAAACCTGGCTAATCTCCCATTTTAATTCTGCCCCAACTCTGCCTTCCCTGGCCATGTCCCCTGCTGCCCTCGTCATATGTCTGTGCAAGGGCCGTGGAGTACAAGCTGTCAGGTATTGATCTTGGAGCATGCAGGAAGATCGGCCAAGTCTGCCCACCTGAGATTTCAAGGTGTCTGGGTGAAACAACAACATGTGATTCAAAAAGAAGGTGGGTGCCGGTGTGATGGAAGGGGACAGGTCCTAGGGGAGGAAATGCAGAGGCAACGTAATATAAAATTCTCATGGTCAGTGTGTTGCCTTTTCCAGTTATCACTTCTACTGTGTTGACTGGAGCATGGCTGGAGCAGCCGGGCATGAGCTACTGGAGGACCACATCATGCCACCAGTGGCAAAGAGAGAGAAAGATTGATAGGACAGCCAATACAAGAGATTGTGAAATCCTGTGCCATTCAGCAGTAGCTTGATGCGCAGTAAAAAAACAACAACCAAAAAAACCCCAAGTAATAAACAACTACCCATTGTTTGTGTGCAAACCTTTAGTTGCTCATTCTTGTATATTATCAACGCACTATAAAGGCAGAGCTGTAGAGACTGGGTGAAAAACTGGCAACCCTACCAGCAGCCTGCTTTTGGGGGAAGCAAAGCTGTAGCTCTGAGGAAGCTATATGAAGCTCTCTTCCTCTGAAAGGAAAGGGGCGCCATCATTCATGCAGCAGCTCCATCACATTGATGTCTACCAGTTGGCTCTTTGTGGCTCAGACAGCATTTAGTACTCATAAGCAGATCCATTTTTTTGAAATATTGGATTATTCAAACCTATGTATAGCCTATGAAGTCAGAAATAACAGGCAGAATAAATACAGTTACTGCTCAGACTGGCTTAAAGTTCCAAGATGAACACAAAGCAGTAAATACAGTGCTTAAGATTTATGCACCCTTACAAGGGAGTAAAGGGCCTTACTTCTGAGTAAACTCATTCGGAAGTGTGTTGTAAGATTGCACTCCTAAGCACACTGACTTGGGAGTAAGCACCATAGAATGCAGTGCAGTTTACCTCTGTGTAAACATACATAGGATTGTGCTGTATGCACCTGTCCTTTCCTGAATTTTGGCGTATGCAAAGATAAGGTAGACATGGCTTGTAAGAAAAGCAGATCTAAAGAGAAGCTCTCACAATGATGGTCAAATCTTCAGCAAGTAACACTGTGATGTTTCTGAGGCTTCTTCTTCAGAGCTATTTCTAGACTCCCTTGAACAATTATCTTGCACTTGGTTTACCATAAAATCTTATCACTGCATTACACAAGAGCTTCAGTCCTCCCTAGCCGAAGTTTGCCAGTATTGTACAACAAAACAGAGGCGTAAAGGATTTTGTCTAAGGTTTGCAACAATGCTTTCTAAACCTCTAAACACAGAAGAACAGGCAAGCCTATCAATTTATAGTCACAACCAATTTATAGAACAATTCAACTCCTATTTCCTCAACTCTGGCTGTGTGAGAGTTTGAGAGTGGGGAAGCAACTGGAGCTCCTTGTTTCACTGCCCAAGGAAAACCTAGCCAAAATATTGGTTTTCCTTTCTGAAAAGGCAGTCTTAATTTGGGATACCAAGCTCTAGATATTTTCTCAAATCTCGACGATAAATCTTAAGCCAACACCATTTTGGGATGAAGCCATTTCCGACCGTCTTTCATCCTGGTTCCTTGTTCATGCTCACAGTGAGAAATTTCCACCCATCCAGCCATCGTTATACTGATCTTTTTTGTCATATGTTAACAGCCATTAGGAAACGCTCCTGTAGGGCTTTGTAGATGACTTATTCCTTATGGTCTCTGCTTGAGCACATACAAGAAAGTCTTCTAAATTCAGCTGGTTAACAGCAAAACCTAGCGTTGCCTTGATGTCGCCAACATATGTGGGTCAGACCAGTTTCCACACAGGCTAATTGCCTCCTGAACTAGGCCAGCCACCTTCCCAAGAGACTCAGGCAACATTAAAAGGTAATTAGATATTTATAAAGGACATCGAAGCAGCCTCTCCCCAAGATGATGAATTAGCTCCAAGTCATTATCTAATTCTCAGCCATCTGAAATGAAAAGCCTTCCCACTGAGAGATCAACCTTTTAAAGTGTAGCCAGAGACATCTAAGAAACAGCAATAGTTTGGATGGAACGGAAAATGGAGATTTGTGCATTAAGGTGAAGGATGGAGTATACAACCAGTAAAAGGAGACTGCCGCAGCAAATGGGTCAATGGTAATGGCATAGAACCAGCTGTGAGCAAGAAGATGGTCCAGAGATGATGTTCAAATAGTAGGGGAATCGCCCCTACTATTAATTTGTGTACCCCAAATTAATTAATTTGTGTGCCCCAAATTAAGAGGTGAATCAGTGTGATTCGGGGAAGGTCCCCACATTTCTGAGGCAAAAGTGCAGCCCCTAAGGTGCACGAGGGATTTGCTAAGTTTCTGAGTTGCTCTGTGGCCTCAGCTCTTCAAAAGTACACGGCTGGTTCCCTGCCTGGAGAAATAAAACCAAGCTTATTGGGGAAATGCCCAGAGCTTAAGAAGGGAGAAAGTGGAGAAGTAATGGTTGGGGAATCTTTTGCTTGATGGACAGGGCTAGCTTTTAATCAGAGTGAATTGTTTACCCAGGGCACTCCAATCACAGTGATTTGGAGCAACAATTAAAAATTGCATACCTACCAACATGTCAAGGCCGAAAACTGGGACGCACATGAGGTTTTAGGGCGCTGTACAGCACCCCAAAACAGGGTGTCCCAATTTAATTGGGACAGTTGAGGGGTATGAAACTGCATTTCTCTTTCACTATGCCCTCCCTATGCAAGTCAAGGGAGATATCTCAAAGATCCATCATGGGGGCAGATGCCCACCCCCGGCATTGATTCTTGGGCTAACAAGATTCTTGCTTGGGGCATGAAATTTTCCCTACGCATATTTCCTGTCCCGTTTCTCCTGCGCAAGACAATGCAAATATATTTCTATCTCGCAGGGAGACAAGGTTGTATCCCTCCGCCAGCTGGGGAGGATAATGGCAAAAGCCTTGCCCTCAACAAACATTGTTCTTTGGGCAACAGGGTTATAGCTGTCCCCCCCACCCCCCCACCCCCGTGTGTGTGTGTGTGTGAGAGAGAGAGAGAGAGAGAGACAGACAGAGAGACAGAGAGAGAGACTCATCCCAAAACTGTAAAGATTGCCCTTGCAGGAGAAGCAGACATGCTTTGTAGCATGTCTACAAAGGGACGTTTTAAATGCTTGACATTTTACTGTGTCTTTATATTTTTTTGGAAGCTGGTCAGAGTGGGGCAACCCAGGCAGATGGGTGGGATATAACAACAACAACAACAATTTCCCCTTGTGGACTGGAACCTGGAGCACAGTTTTAAGCAAAGACAGGATAGAAACAGGTAAGAATTTTTAAAAATGCACAGGCAAATTCTGGGGCCTGTGCATCCCCTATCACATACACTGAACATATTGTAAAATGCAACATGCCTTGGTTCGCTGGCTTGGTTCCCCTAATTCAGGGGTGGGAACCCAGTGGCTATCAAATATTGTTGGGCTCCAATTCTCACCATCCCATCGATGATCAGGGATGATGGGAGCTGGAGCCCAGCGGTATCTGAAGGACTCTCGGCTCCCCACCTCTGCCCTAAGCAGTGCATCTAGCTGTCATTATCCACCTGCACAATAAATGCGGCAATCAAATAAACTCCACACTGCAAATATACATAAGCCAAATTACATTTACAAAATATATATGGTCAACGATAGAATTCATGTTAGCAGATAATTTCATGTTGTGAATTTTAGTTGAGAGTATGAACAGGATTGTTACTTCACTGGCTTTAGTCCAGTTAGTCTCCAGGCTCAGCCTAAAGCTGGCCCTGACCTTTGAGCCAAGATGGAGGAAGCTCTTACCTGTAAAAGAGACGACGGCTAATGAAAACAAGACAAGCTCCACAGATGCTCCCATTGTAGGCTTCAGAATGTGTGCTACAGTTCAGCAAACGGAACGGAGGAAGCGAGTGCAATTCTGTAAGACATGGATGAATTCACTTGTAACTGGTGAGCGGGATTCAGCCTCACAGAACAGAACTCCAGCTTCCCATTACCTACACTCATTTTAACCACTTAATCTTCATATCAAATGCAGTTTGAGATCTTTATGGTTTTTAAGTTTCTGTCATATTTGATCCTGAAGAGGTACATAGTTTTCTTTATACAAGTTTTTTTTGGGACCTTTATCTAATTCCTGTGTGTTGAATCTTTTGATGCCAGTTTAATTTCTCTGATTCAGTTCTTTTTGCCAACTTCTCTCGTCTTAAACTTCAATAATAAAAAGCCAGCTGCCTCTTCGGTATCTTTCTCCTCCTAAGCTGATTTGTTTATATCCATCATACAAAAAATAATGTCATCTACATATAGATCCGCCCCGCTGTCTCCACAGACATGGGGACACCGGCACAGGTGCAAACAAACCTTGCAGAGCCCACCCCCTCACAAAGGATGGTCTGATTGCTTGCCCTGTCTTGGGATTGTGGCCACTTGCCGCACTAATAGCTGTGCCTGCCCCACTCTTCAAAAGGAAGGTTCAGGGTGTGTGTTGCTTGTTGGACCAACATCTTAGCTTTCTCTGAGCCATTTATCCTCTTACATCCCTGCTGAACCTTGTAACCTGTAATTTGCCTTATGTACAGTGATACCTTGGGATGTGAATGGGATCCGTTCCAGAGCCCTGTTTGCATCCTGAACAGAACGTAAGACACGACGGCGCGTCTGCACATGCGCGGGTCGCGTTTTGCCGCTTCTGCGCATGCGCATGATGTCATTTTGAGCATCTGCACATGCGCGAGTGGTGAAACTCGGAAGTAACGTGATCCGTTACTTCCGGGTTGCCGCAGGGCGCAACCCAAAAGCGCTCAACCTGAAGCACATTCAACCCAAGGTATGACTGTACTGATCTGATTTGAGCATTAAAGCTTTTGGCAGAAGTATAGAGCTGGGAGTTTCAGTTCTTTATTTCGAAGGAAGGGCCAGGACCAGGGACAGCCCACCCATGAGAAGGGCTGAGGCAGCTGCCTCAGGTGGTGAAAACGCATGAGGTGGTACCCATTTGGTCGCCCCGCCACTTCCATCACTGGCAGAGAAGTGGTGCCATTTTCTGGCTTCTCACAAGATCTTGCCAGAACCCACTGGTGCCACTTCGCAGGCACTAGGTAAGGGATGCTTCTGTGGGGATGGTGCAGCAGCAGCACTTTCCCAATGTGCCTCAGGTGACAAAATGGGATGCGCCACCCCTGGCTAGGACACTTTGGAGGCAGAGCTGGTGTTGCCTCTTGCAAGCAGCCACTATTTTTATTGAGGCAATGCTTTTTCATCTAAGTAATATAGCATTAGCACAATGATAAAGAAGTTTAAAATCAATGATAAAAAACCAACAATCAATTGCTGACAACAAAACATTAGAGGCAAGGATGAGGCACAAAGATACACAACAAATCATATATTATATCAAGATGAATGAAAATCAAGCAACATAACCAAGAAAATATGAGTAGCAAAAGACCGCAAGGTGGAAATATTACCAACTGTCACCAAAAGGTGAATACATTGGTATTATTTGAGAGTCCTCCCCCCACCCTTTCTTGTGTGTCAATGTTGCCCTGGAATAAATACCAAGTTGAAATGGATGATTCCGGTCTAGATGGATCTTTGGCCTCTCTCAGCTGACATGTTAAATTAATATTTGTTCATTACCTCCCATACTTTCCTTATCTAATCCTTTTGAGAGGGTAGCTCCAGCTGCCTCCATTTACATGATTGAAACAGGCAATTTTTGGAGCCAAGTAAGGCTGCCATTCTTAAAACACTTACAAGGAGTTCAGCTCCACTGAACATACTGAGACTTACTTCCAAGTAAACAGGGATATATGATCCTTGTGGCAGTGGTGGAGCTTCGTGCTCCAGCACCGGGGTGGAGAGCAGGCAGGGGTGGGGCTGGCGTGCATCCCGGGGGCATGGTGCGCTGCCCGCAGGGGTGTGGTGTGTGTCCTGGGGGCGTGGCGCCCAGTGTGGGTGGGGGGCAGCCACAATGGCACCCTGCTGGGATCACGCTGCCGGGGGTGGTGTGCTCCCCCTGCACTCCTCTTCCTCTGCCAGTGCCTTGTGGTGATATAAAAGGGATAATGTTTCCAAGTAGTAAAGGAACCTAGAATCCTTTTGGACATGACATTTCTAATTTCCCCACCTGGGCAATGGAGCATTCCTACTACCGTAAAGTGGTAAAAAGTGTGCACTTCCCTTCCAACACATAGGACTATATTGATGGAAGATCCTTTGTGTGATCTAGTTAACGCACTATATAATCAATGCATGTTAGCCCTAGACGCTATGTAATAAGAACAAGGTTCTTCTGAGCAAGAACAGAGTACCTTTTTCTTCCCACAGAGCAAGCACAAATGACCCCTAAACATTTGCATACTGAGCCTTGACACTTTTTATAAATATGCCACTACAATGAAGGTACGATGCTATTAATACTCACCAGATCCCAAAGCCACTTCATTCAGGCAAGTATTATTGCCCAGAATGCAGGATGCACATACCCTATTCCTTTTGGAATCTGAGGCTCTTTGCTAGTTCAAATAAGAAACAAAGGCTGACCAAATCATCTGAAAATCCAAAGGTTCTTTTTAAGTACTATTAATGCATGCAGAAGGCTGTTATGAACTTAGTTACATTTCAACACATACAGATTCCACACCTGAATTATAGACACATGACTTGCAAATATATGGGGGGGGGATAACACTTATAGCATCACATGGGAAAACACTAAGTCTGCACCTCTTGCACCATTATTCACTTGGCCTTTCATGACACTTCTACCACGTGAGGACGGCTTGCTGGGCTTGCATTATTTGCGACTAGGTTCACCACCTGCACAGCACATCTTCACTCAGCTGTTTCTCTCTCACAAGAGTAAAGCTAAGCAAAACACTTTCCATATTAAGAAAAGCAAATTTGGAAGGGGGAATCAGAAGAGAGGGGAGCGAAAGGGCAAGCGTAGTTCACGGATTCTGCTTGCCATACAACCTTGGACAAATCAGTTTTTAAGAAGTCCTGATTGTTGCAGTACTCTGTATTGAGACATAATAGATATATAACATGCATATTCATGTATATTTAAGTAATTCACAGGGTCTGTATATAAACTAGTATTGACAACACAATGAGCCATGAATGAAAGATGTGGCATAGCCGCCTTCACAATTTCTGCTCCCAGACTTCAAATTCAGCATGCTTGGTTTACACAGTAGAAAGACAGTATCACTGGGTACAAGTCCTCTGGGATTTGCAAAGTCAGCCACCTGAGCCCTTCCATCTCTCACAGCCATCGTGGCAAGAAATCCTTTCATCTACGCTGTTTTGAAGATTCATCCACTAACCTGTTTAATCAAAAAGCATCCAGATTTCATCTAAAATCCAATCATGATAATTGCCTTAAAACCAAGGACTGCAGTTTTGTGCATGTTGTGAAGTTCCAGGCCATGAGCTAGATGCAGAACTAAATTATACCAAAGTTATGAGGTTACTGAATACAGTTTTGGATCAAATGTCTCCCTAGACTATTTATTTGTTTGCTTGCTTATTAAAAAGATGGATGATGCAAAATTGCTCTCTCTCTTTCTCCTCTGTATCAGCTCAGCAGGTAGAGTCAGCACAAAACCAGCTACATTTAGTTAGTCAAATGAGCAGATTTGTCTCAAAGACACAGGGGGTGCAGACAGCGTTGAGTAAGGAGGAGGCTGTGCTGATTATAACTGAGCTCTCCATTTTCTTGCTTTATAAAATATAGATGCTGTATTCAAATGAAAGTGAATGTGGTCCCTTCTCTCCCTGGGCATTTAGCCTAAACAAACTATAGTGTCAGGGGAATAAATGGCTGAATAGGCAATCACATAATAAAATAATAGCAGTAGAACTGCAATAATTTTGGGTGTGTTAATTCTCCTGTCTTCCCCCCCCCTGCCTTCCAGTAGGTCATGAGTGACTATTACAATTTGAACCCCAGCTACTGTTGCTCTGAATTTACAGACTTCAGACTCAGTTTCTTTTACTTCCGAAAGTACAAAATGACTATATAGTGCTCAGAGCTCTATGACTCACATAATGATATTTCAACCGCCATTTCTTTCTTCATTTTAAGACCTCTTTTACACCTGCGTTTCTGGGGCATGTGAACGTAAGGCTGGGCTCATAAGCACCACTTATATGGAGGGAATGCTTATTTTAGCAACAGGATGACCATTCCTCATTTCGGATGATTCCAGCACCGTTGATCTTCATCAGTTTGTTAACAGTAGCTTGGGCTTTTCAGACAACCATACATCAATCACTACCTAAAGCTTCCTAAGTTTTATTTTTAAAAATATTTTCAACCAAGGAAAAAACCAAGCAGGAAGGGCCAACCAGAACCTAGCAGTGCTAAGAAAGCTGATTATATTTGATAAAAGGCGTGGCATATCTACTTCACAATCTGAAAAGCTCTTTTCTGAAAAGCTCTTTTTCGCTATGCATTTAGACACCTCTAAAGACAGTGGGTTATATCCAATGTTAGTCAGAGCAGACCCATTGAAATTGATGGGTGTGACTAATTCATTTCTTTGGGTTGACTCGAAATAGGGATTTGCTGGATATAACCCATCAAAAGCAATTTTTGCATCATGGTTCCTGAGATCAAGGAGTAAATTTTCATCTACATCTGGGTACACACACTTGAATGCTACTTTGAATCAAGATGGCAGACGATCAATACTGTAATGATTTTGTGGTTGTTCTTTGTTTCTTAAGACTTCCCAAGCAATGCTGGTATGGGTTCTAGAATATCACCTGAGGGCACATGATTCGGCTAATATGCTGAAACTAAGCAGGACTAGGTCTGATTTAGGCATGCCTGCATGGGAGACCACCCAAGACCACCACCTATAACAGAACTTTCCAAACTTTTCATGTTGGTGACACACTTTTAGA